TAAACAAGCACGTGTCTGAATAATTGAGTAGTAATTCCGTAATAGTATTACACAGATCTTCCAGTATTGTATCCATATCACATACAGGAGGCAAGTAAATGTTTCCAATTGTTAATAATTTGTTATTAATTTTAATATTGACAAAAAGCCAGTATCGGTTGACATATACAATACTTGTTCCTGAAGTAATGGAGCTATGAACTAGGGTTAGCAAACCACCGCTGACAGGCCCTGTTGTGTTTACTTTGACAGCTTTACTGCTAAAAGGTGTATAATCATGCAACCATGGAGGTAAAGAGAAATTATCATTAATCACCCAAGTTTCCACGAAACACAATATGAGATACTGCCGTATAGTATCACATTCTTTTAGTGTAAATTTAAATAAATTTTTTAAACCATTTATATTGCAAAACAAAATATGATGTCCATGTTGTTGTACATTATTGGATTAGATAGTTTTATCGAGTCCTTTCAGTGAATCGTGAACATGTATCAGGCCGGAGGAGATGGGTTCGGTCCATCAGGACAACTTACCCATTGCTAAGAATGATGAACTACGTGGTCGAAATTTAAACTTATCTAGTCTATTTTCAGCTTTTCTTTTCTTTTTTGTTTGTTCTTCATCAGATGTTTCCAGTGGGCCTGCCTGTGATAACGATATGGGATATTAGCTTCAGATTCTTTGATTATGTCATCTACTTCTTTCATTTTATAGTATGACCCTCTTATTTTGAAAAAACCTTTCCTATAAGATGCTTTGCTATCAATAGTTTAACTTTAACTAAAAGATAAAAATACAAAAGGTATATCATCTCTCTAGGAAAGGTGTTGCTAAGGGTCAGATTTACATGGCTGTTAACTGACTTAAAATCTTGAGGGAATTGCCTTACTTTGACTCAATATTTAAAAAAGTGTAATACATCTATAATAGTAACTAAAATATGTCTCAACTTACAATTCAGAATCTTTTTCTTTATTTTGAATACATGACTTCTGAATGCTGCATATTACTTTCATATCTTCCAACTGCTTTTTCAAAGTAGTTTCTCTAATAGAATCATCCTGCTCATTATCAAGTGTTACCCCTGATAACAAAAATAAGTTTTGTAAATAAATTAGTTCCACTAAAGTGTGACTTAAGAGTTCCAATCCAAGATTTGTTAAGTAAAAAAAATGTTCTTCCTACCAGAACCTTTTTTTTGTACTATTATTGTTTACATTGTTATTTTAATAATTAGTATCGATTCGGGAATTGACTGTTGAATTAATATAAAAATATTTATATAATTTTAATAGTTACTGTATGGAGCTCTCCCAAGAAGCAGTTCATGATGAGCAGCTACTAATTCGAAACGGATTTTATCTAACTTTTCCAAATCCATATCAAAAGGCTGTTCACATTCTGCTGGGTCCTTTGGTAATCTTTTGAGGTCTTTTGCCAAAGCCTTGCATTTCACGTTTAATTCCTTAAATGCTTCACTGCGAAAGCCTTCCATCTTTCTTAAGAAAAAAAAAAGAATTAAAAAATAAAAACATATATAATTTCTACTAGATATAGCCAACATGGTACTGCTTTACAACTGTTTTTAAATAGCATCATAAATACATCAAAATATTGAATGTTAGCTGTTTATGTTAACGGTTTCTAACTTTGAAGACAATTGAAAATATTTGCACTTAAAAAGATTATGCGGGTGAAAGGAGACAGCCATAATTAAAAACACAACAAATAGGTATTTTCCATTTTAAAAATGTCATTAACATATCCCCTAATATATAAGGCAACTATTTCAAGGTTGTCCATGAATACTGAGATATGGGTCAAAGCATAACAAAATAAACATGGACAATAAATATGACTAACATAACAATCTCTCCTACACCACCCATTGCCCCTAAAATTAAACTACATGTTAGAATATAATTATTTGATTCCAAACAATTAGCTGAGAATTTCTAAAATAATAGTCGTTTCGCTAAGTCAGGCATTATTAGGAACGAAAAAATCACATAGATGCACTTTAAATGCAGTACATAAGACATACATCACCAGCCTAAAAAAAGGAATCTAGTAAATACATCTTTTTTGGACTGTTTTGATATATGCTGTGTTTGGTGTACATAAAAGTGATTTTTTTTTTTTCTGTCAGCACAATGTATTAATTGCAAAAACAGTGAATGGTTAGTTTTCTACCAGTATTTTAGAGATTTAAATATTTAATTTTTGATAGTGGTAGTTGAAGTAACTAATTTTTAAAAATAGATTATTTTTGATACCCCATAATGAATACATTTAACATGTAGAATGAAATAAAATTATTTTAAAATGCAATGGACAGGATCAAAATGGAAAGGAAAGGTCATCTTTACTTAAATGTTGGTTTTGATATAAATAACGACACTTGTAAAACAGATAAATTCTGATAATTAGCTGGAAGTGATTTTAAATTAATACAAAGTGGTTTTGTTATTTTCTTTTATTATATTGTTAGTTTAAACATTGTGATATTGTTTGATAACATATCAACATAGAAATTGATTGATCGAAATTCGAGAAGAAATATAAACCATTAATAAAAAAGGATGACTCAGGAAAATAACTTTTATGAATAAGGGAAATAGAAGTAGACAAGCATTAACTGGGACAGTTTTTTGTTATGGAAAATAGATTACCTCTTATCAAAAATGTATAATTTGAAGAATATGACACTGCTTCAAAAAATTAAACAACTGATGAGTATGATATGTGAGTATAAAAATTACTAATAATATTCAAATTAACGCAAATAGAGATTTAGATAAAAATAAAAGAATCTTTTGTCACAACTAACTTGACAAACCTAACCAAATTCAAAATATCAACTAATACTTGAAGATTCGCGGGAAAGATCCAAAAGTGAAGGTTATCTGCTACAACAGATCCAAAGAGCTAGATACGATGCACTTGTCCTAAGGAGTTTAATTTAACCCGCAGAAATTCGTAAGAAAAAGCTATGTGTAAATTAGTGTGGGGAATTTTCTTTTTAACTAAGAAGTTTTTACTTTTTAAAACAGCATGAATGGAGGAACAGCAACCCTAAAGAAACATATTCTCAATATGTATTTGGATGGCTAGATAAGATGTTGCTAGTTAATTTTTGTTTCACTTCTTTTCTTCCTACATACATGTGGTCTAAGTTTTTCTGTTTTGGCGATGCCTAAATTGGTAAAACAGTGGTAGGCTAACTGTTCACCTGTATTTTAGAGACTCGAGGGTTTATATTTGGATTTTTCAATTTATATCCTAATTGTTTTTATATTTGTCTAAAAAAATGTTGATCATTTCCATTGGGTAAGTGCATTAGGGAAAAAAAACGAGTTCGTGCTTTAGGGCAAGTCATAGAAGTGAAAACAAAAAGGCGAGATTAATAATATGAAATATAATTCTTTTAAAATTTAATTATATAGTCACAAAGTAATACCATTTACAATTATAATTTGCATAAATTACTCTACTAAACTTTGAGTGATCGTCATTTGTATCTTACTCCAAAAACGATATAGTAGGTTTATGATAACTTTCGTTTATGTGATGGATACTTTTGATTGAAATCTATTCGCTGAATATCTTGCAAAAACTCCTTAATTTTCTTAATTTAATTTCTGTAAGGAGATCAATAGTTTGTTGAAACTATCGAGTGTAACAAAAATATAGCACTATTTTTCCCTTTCCAACAATCGGCATCCCATCAAAATAGAATTTTAAATAATAGCTCATTACAAAGAGGATGTCATGCTAAAAAATTTCCTTGCTTACAGTAGACAGGTTCGATTTTTAGTTTATGAGACCTTTTAAATCATATATTCAACACAACTTACCATTTGGATTTCGTCACTTATCTTTTACCTTTTTTGACTCTCTAACTCGGCGTCACGTCAAAATAAAATTTTGAATTATAGCTCATAACGAAACAAACAAATTTTTTTAAAATAATTACACCAATGAGCAAGGAACAACAAATTTACTACCTGTTCTATTACAAATATTTTATATGACCCTTGTATAAGGAATTTTGCAACTTGCAATTAAAACGTTCAGAAAGCTTAATGTACTTTAAAATCGGTAAAAATTCTTTTTGCCTAAAATCCACTGGAATTGAGTCACTGCGGAAAAACTGCAAAAAAAAAGTACTTTTTCTTATTTTTTTTACTTCAAGATGACGGAAATCGCTGGAGTTAGAAGTGAAAATTTTGGATTATTGATGAGAGATTCAATACAGACATGTCTGAAAACAGTAATTACTCCATTTTTTGCAACTTAACACCGGATTTTTGAGGAATTTTGATTGGGCTAACTTAAATCCAAATTTTGGACTTGAAATTCTTGGGTATGACGTACCTGACGGCCGTTTCATGGTTTTAGATATTAAGTACTTACTTCTTCTAGTTAAAAGACAACACTGTTTCTCTCTGTCTTTTGATGATGTAATATTTTGACGCCAGGAATAAATTTTATGCGGGATACCCAGAAGTGAGGAGGATATTATGAGATCTTTGAAGTGATGAGGTTTATAAATCCGCTCAGTAAGCGAACTGCAATTGTTTTTGGGACTTGTTAATTATGTGCTAAGGTTTATTTCTCAAATTGCTGATTTATTATATCCTTTGTACCAGGAGCTTCACAAAAATTGTGAGTGGAATTGCTTGTGAGGAATCTTTTAAGAGACTGAAGCAAATAGTCACGTCTCCGGTAGTTTTAGCTCATTATAACCCAAATTTTCTCCTCAGTGTTACGGTGGATGCCTCTAAGTGTGGCGAAAAATTTCCATTTTATGATTTCATAATATTGTAGACTACCGTTAAATAGATTACCAAGATAAAGGTAACGTCCCTTTTTAGTGCACACCACCAATTTCATAAAAATGTGGATTAGAATGGCCATTTCAATTAAAATATACGTATAAATAATATAATAATTAAAAGCATATTGAATTTAGACTTCTGGGAATCAATTAATATTTACATTCTGATTTTTTTATTTATTTAGAAGACTGGAATATACATAATAATGCCATATATTAATACTGATGGTAATCATTCTTTTCTTAAAACCTTTCATATCAAAAAATTGTAATGTATAAATAATGATGTAGGAGAATTATTAGTAAAGTCCTTGTCAAAACAAGTTATAATTGGTCTTTTTTTTTTATATATATATATGTTGTAGCTTTAATTTTTTTCAAGATAGCTTCCTTTTAACGAGTTTTAATTGAATTGGTTCTACTGTTTTCGTCAATGGAACTTCACCACTCATTTTTAATGGAATCTGGGTGACTTCACAAGGTTCAACACTGTACTTCCTTAAAATAGAGATGAGTCCCATTTTCGTCTGAAGAAGACCAAACCTCTTTCCTGAAAAACAAAATACAATAAAATATCGTACGAAACAATTATAAGACAGATAAATTCTTTAAAAACGGAGAAGGTATGTCAGTCAAGGTAGTACTAAAATTAATTTATTTCGGATATGTCTTTCTTGAAGAAATCATTTATTAATTTAGTAAAACCCGAAAATCATCATTAGAAGTTAGTAGTAGAACTCTTTCTTTCCCTCCTTCCAACTTATGTGATACAATTTTTTTGTTGATAGTATATATAATATATAAGCTCATTCGGGCTCATATCAATCATAATTTTCGGTACGTGCTTTCTTTTTCTTCCGTTTCCTAGGCAAAAATAATTTGAATATTTAACAAAATACTGTGGAATGATACCGTTTTTAGTTCTTCCCTCACGAATTAGCCATTGGCTAATAGTCCGGTTCCTCGGTAGGCTTAAAGTAATGAACTTTTCAAGATTTATATTTTTTCATTTTATTCCAATTAAATTTGTCATTATTACTGCAATTTATTTGGCTAAAATAGTAGCCATTGGTGTAATAACTGGCAAATATCATTAAACAGATTTAATGTATAAATTATATTTGAAACTAAGAGTCAAGAGGCGTCACAAATATATATATATATTTGAAACTTTTAGCAATAAATAGCACCTTGTAAAAAATGATTAGCATTATTGCCCATCAGAAACATGAGTTTTTAAGCTCTAATTAGTGCCGGGAACGGAACCTATGGACTATCGAGTTGAAACTTATACCAGTATTAATATCTATTCATAATATGCAATTGCTTGAATTAGGATCTAAGTAATGCTATGCGAACTAGATATCCATATTAGTGAACCGCAATCGTACTACTCTAATTGTCCTATATATTTATAGAGTACCATTGATATAACCATTAAAGTATGGCCATGAAAGTTGTTAAAGTCCAGTTAACTCATGGTCATATGACATGACATCATTTCCAATGACTTCTATCCATTAATATCAGTCTCTTTCAAAACAAATGAGGCAGTTTAGAATCCTCAACATTGTTGGTGAATATAATAAATTAATAATATAACTATAGTATTATTATATAACCGTGCCGGCCATAGACATTTGGCATCCCCGGAGCAATGACGTAATTTCCCATTTCCCTAAAAAAAATTTATTTATTTCTTATATTAATTTCTTAGTTTTATATTATGCAGTAATTGAATTTATTTCATTAAATATTTCTCTAATACAGTTGCCTTATTAATAGAATAAAGTTAATTATTTTAATACTTTTTTATTTCTAACAAGTGGCGAGCACCCTATGATGCTCCACCCTAAGATATACTTACTGAAAATTTCTAAAAGAGATTCTATAATGTATTTGAACAATTTCGATCAATACGTATAAGAAATACATTTAAAACAATAAAAAAGAGTGAACAAAACAAATTTATATTTTTGACAAGTTTTAAAAAGCAGTTATCTGTGTTACGATCGCATTTGTTGAACGTACCACATACATTAACTATGCCAATTTGAATATTACTCTTACATGTTATAACAATATTCAGGGTTAATATGAAATGAAACATACCTATGCAAAATCTTGGTCCTTCACCGAACGGTATGTATGCATATGGATTGATGTTGTGTTTATTTTCTTCTGAAAATCTTTCAGGATCAAATTTGTCTGGATCTGGAAAGTTTTCAGGACTGCGATGTAATGCCCAAATTGGTATAAAAATGAATTGCCCCTTTTCAATCGTGTCTCCATTAGGCATAGTAACTGTTTTTGTGCACATCCTCGACATGTTTACAACTGTTGGATATTTTCTCATGGTTTCTGAAATTAAAAATAATGAATAAGCTCAATAACAACAAGTTCAATAAAAAAAAAAATATTGAGTTTTGAAGAAAATTTGAAATACTATTTACATTTCAATTGAGAGATTAACAGTGATTTATGCCAATAAAATATAATTAGCAACTATATTATCAATTATGTATCCAGTGGTAAATTATACGTTGATAAAGAACCGGTAATTTATAAAGAATTTAATAATTTGAACATAACCTGAATATAAATGGTTCATGTTACGTCTGAGGAGTTATTTTCAGCTGACGTTCATGTATAGTAGTTTAAAACAATCTCCACCAAAACGATCTCTAAATTGTTGGTTATATCATCCACATTTAAACCTTGTAAACTACTTATCACAGAACTGATATTGGTTACATGTGTCATTTCCGTAGGTACGAAATGTATCTTGAGTACCCACTCACACGTCTTTTCTTACCGCTTTGTTGCTAAATAAAATAAAAAAACTGCTGATTGTATCTGTTCTCTAACATTGGTCCGATAAGAATTTAATTTTCTTGTTTTTAATTTAATTTTTTGCTTGTAGACATGTAGAAAATGAATCATTTTTTAATAAACGTTCACAGAGATGTTTAATACTAGACATAAAAATAGGTTTAGTAGAACGTGTACTGTTTGGAGTAATCATAAAAATTAATTTTCTTTACAAAATTATTTAGCGATCTCATTCTGAACTATACATCTAACAATTCCGAAAGATTCAAGGACACTGAATGAAAATTACGGATGTAGGAAGATTGCCATTATTAACAGAATACATGAAGTTATGTTCACCTGAGACTACCATATCCAGATAGGTCATCTCCTTCACAGCATCGTAGGTAACACCAGCATGCAGTTGTTCCATCCGGTCTATCTCGGTTTGGACTCTTTCTTGCATTGCAGGGTTCAAGGCCAGCTCATAGAGGCAAAAGGACTGAACAGTGCTGGCGGTTTCGTAACCAGCCACGAAGAAAACAAAACATTGTGCTGCCAGCCTTTCCATGTCCATAACTAATTCCAAACAAAAACCATGTCAAAATCATAATTGATTTATGTCATTACCAAGTAAGTTAAATCTATATTTTTAAAAAACCTATTAGTAAATTTATTGGGGCCATGGTTGACGAGCGAGTCAATGCGGCCGCAAAAATTTCGAGTTCAAATCTCGTTCGTGGGATTTAATGAAAAAAAAAAAAGACAAAAAATAAAAATAATTAATAATGATAAATTAAAATAAAATAAGTACAGGTCCTAGTAAGTGGGTAATGACCCCACCCAGAGATTCACAGGGAGTGAACCTGTTATCTTAGGTTGGGGTTTGGGCATAGTGTTAATAATCTCCTACCCCATAAAACATCAGGATGGATATTGCTTCAAAAGTTTGTTAACCATTCTTAAGTAAAGAGCCTGATGTAGAGGGAGTGAATGTCCTGTGAGTGCCTTGGATATCGTGAAGAGAACGGAGCGATCACAACTGTCGTCTATAATAACACTGTAGCTGCAAGAAGACTTATGGTGGAAGTCAAAGAGGTGTAAGAAAAGTAAATTTATTGTTAGGAACCTATATGGGGAACCTCTTATAGTTTCTTGGTTTAAAATGGAGAGAATAAGAAGGCTGGGCCATGTACACAGGATGAAGCAAAAACGACTCCCCAAGCAAATAATGAAAGGATGACCAGATGGGGAAAAATAAGGAGGCAGGCCTAGAATAATATGGACAGAAGATGAGAGGAAGGCCTGAAGCCACTGGGTAAGGCATTGGAGAGAATCAGCATAGGAAAGGTCCGAATGGAGGAAAATAGTTAAGGAGGCCAAGCTCCTTCATGGACTGTAGCGCCAAAGGAAGAATAAGAAGATAATTAATAAAATAAATAATTAATAAATAAAGATAATTAGTAAATTTATAGTAAAATAAAAATACAGCAGAAAAAAATCATCATACATATCTGATTTACTAAATGACTAACCAAAATGTGAAACATTTGCTTCAGTTTCTTCTTCTTCACCATCCAAAGATCCTTTATTTTTAAGCTGCATCAAAAGATCAAGAAAGTCTTTTCTTTTGATATTGTTCTCTTCTCGCTGTTTGACTGTTTCCTTTACGAGGTTGTAAACAAACAGTTGACTTTCTTTTTTTTCTGGGGTACATCTGAGAAATAAATAAATTGAATATGAAATATCATACAAAACAAACATGTAATAAGTGACACAATTAAGCTCGACAAGTTTATGTATAGGGCTGTTTTCGTTTGATTTTCTATGTGTTTCATTCTATTGAATAAAAGACATCAACTAGCGAAAGTTATTTGATGATTTTGTATAAATTATTGCTTAATTTATCATCGCATGATTTATTATTGTTACGCAATAACAGTCAGTACTTAATTTGTTATTATTGAGTATCTTAAAACATGTATGGTGAGTAGATGAGTATCTGAAATAAAGGAATGCTTTTGTTTCCATAAACAATCCTCCAAACCAGAGCTTGAAATGGAATAAAAAACTTTGATTTTTAAAAAGTTTCGGTATGGTGGGAATTTTTATTGTCGATAGTTTTTCGTATCTTTTAGTACTAGAAAATTTCTGCTTGCAACTTTTCAAGTAAAGGGCTTACAGAACTTTTATTTTTGAAAAACATTTGTTTAAAACTTCAGTCAATTTCTCTAATAAGTCGATCTAAAAATGACATTAATATATACTCCAACAAACGACACATTAGAATTATGTGTAATTCATTTAAGACAAATTATAACTATTCTAAATCCAATTACTCTTTATTTTTCATTTGACGGGACTTTTTTAAAATCTGTATATTTCCTAGAGATTTGTTATTTAAAGCTAAGAGTATTATTTAATTAAATAAATACATACTCGCTTTTAACTACAAAATAAATATTATTGGTTGGATTACCTGAACTGAAAAATTTCTGAAAGCTTCGGAAACGTAGTTGTAATAATAAATGCCAAAACTAGCCTAAGATTTACACTAAATATATTTTTTCCTAGTTGAATTAATTCGCTATCTTTGTCCTCCATGACATTCGTGTCCAAGCCGAAAGCGCAACTACATAGTATATCTGTTGTGTATCTCGAAGCCAAATCTTTCACATCGATAACAGAATTGACGTGCGACTCAAGCAAGGAATCAAATGCCTGAAATGAGAATGATTCTATTTCATAATGTGCTACTTATTATAAAAATAGGCCATAAATATACCATCGATTATAAAATCACAAAAATGTTAAAGATCGATAACCCAACATCAAAAATTATTGTTTGCTAACTTCAAATCCTAACTAAAAGGCCTTTACTAGTAAGCATTTTTAATTTCTCATTAGGGTTTAAATGAAAATAAATAACCAGAGAGCAGTAGCGAATTCACTAGTTAATTTGGAAGGGGAGGAGAGTTATAATTTTTTTTTTTAAATAACGGTAATAATAAGAACAATAATCCATTTGTGAAATACAATTTTCAATTTATCTTGATATGTAATTATGGTACATGGCTGTATGTATGTAGCTGAAGTACATGCGTCATAGCATATTATGATTCTATATGACATATTATTAATTCTCTACATTATTATGATTCGGCTCTGATCATCCACTGAAACAATTATGGGTCAATGAAAAACAATTTTTTTTTTTTTTTGAGGGAAAGAAGGTTCAGCCCAAAAACCGAAAATAATTTTTAAAAATTTGTTAATCAATTATTTCTCAATTTATGAATTTGAAATATTTATTTTTATTTATTAATTTTCTTTTTTTTTTTTTGCTCTAAGCCTAATGGCAGCAAGTATTTACTTCGCTCTTAACCATCGTGAGAAAGCCTTTAAATTTTCCGAAGGTAGGTGGCAAAAGTTTCTGGAAGATCATCGTAGAATCTCCAATATTAGTATTAATTATTCATGAAATGCATTATTTCCTCTATAATTATTTTCATGTATTCAGGGTTTCATCTCTATCTATTCAGGGATGTCTCTTTATCTAGTAAGTTTCTCACAATAATTATTTTTTTATTTTTAATTTCATTTTACGAATGTGAATAATTATTAGAGTATTGTCAAATATTGGTTCACGTATGATCAATGTATTCCTATTTTATTTATTACTATTAATAATTACGTTTATCCTATTAAGCAAGTTCGTATTTACACTCGAAATTTAACTTTTTTCTATAAACTTAACTTCTATAAAAATGTGAAAAAGTGAGTTGCAGTACCTCTGATCTTTTGTAAATCTAAGATCATGAAATAATATAAAACTGCATTGAAAATTAAAAATAATAATACTGCACCTCAGAGGATTTAAGAAACAATGGAAACATGGCCTTCATTCTTCCACTTGTAAACGTTGGACTCAGTTTGCTTCTGAGAGCTTTCCATTTATCACCTTCCAAATTTAAGAGATGTTGGGAAAGGACATCAGATTCGGGTCTAAGAAACAAAATAAAAGTAATGTGTAAGAAAATAAAAAAATCTAATAAAAATCTGCATTAGCTTTTCTAATAATTTTCATTGGAAAATTATTTTTAGAAAATAGATTGTTGTTTCTTAATTACTTTCTATAACTTGTAACTGTAATAGGCCAATTAATTTTATTTGTGAAACGTCAAAATGAATATTTTACAGAAGAAAATAACTAAAAAAAATAAAATAATTATAAAATATGTCGAATTTTAGGGATGGTCTGGGATGTTTGTTACGACTAGCGTATATTACATCGGAATAGGTCTGAATAATATCGATATTAGAAGAAATGAGATATGCAACAAATATATATATTATTATAAGAAGAAATATTGAATCATTGAATGCACTATCGATAATATATTAAAATTAATTGAAACATTGAAGTCAACGTTAAATTAAAATTCACATTCAAGGTAAAATAATAGGCTAATAGTTTTTATTCATTCCAACTTACATCTTAAGCAATAGCCTATCCCTGAAGGAGGAAAACTCTTTCACCAACACCACTTGGACGTATTCAGGATCTTTTATTACAAGAGTTGGCTTTCTCATAAAATACAGACCAAAGTAAGGGGAAGAAGGAAATTTTCTAAACATCTGAAACAAAATTTCTTTAATTTCTGGCACTTATTGTATGTTACCTGTCTTTCGTTGTTATCTACCTCTAGAAACATATCTCCTTGGAACTTCCTGAGTAGCGTAAGGTTGGCTTCACTACCAAAAGGAAATCTTCCAGGTATTGATGGTATCCCTTTGTCTTCCCAATATTTATAATTGGAAACCCAATATTTGTAGAACATCCACAATATTATGAAGCTCAAGATGGCTATAGTAAACATGGCTGAAAAATAGTGCATAGTTATAATAAAAATTTGTGTTATATCTTAATTGTCATTTTTTCTGTGCTGTACTTTTTAAATTCATACTTTTTGTTTTTTTTACTCTTATGAAAATTGAATAATAGTTATATTGGTCATAAACTAATTTTTTTCTTTTGTTTAAAACTCATTATTTAACTATAGATATAAACCATAAAATTTTAAAATGAATTATTATTAATCACTAATTATTTTATAAGTCTCAAGCAAAAATAAATTTTTGAATTTTCAAGATACTTTCCATGGTAATACCGTATAAATTCCTAGAAAACTTTTATTTTTTATTCAATAATGTAAAAGTAAAATTTATTATAGATAAAAAAATAGGCATCAATCATTGTTTTTCTTTCACTTTACGACTTAATATGTCAAATATTATTTTTTTCTGAAATCTTTTGCTTTCCAACGACATATTATACACATCTGTAACTATTTTTAATCCATAACTTTGTTTTCAACAAAGGAAAATATGTCTCCATCATTTAACCATCAAATTCTCTCATAGTTTATTTTTTTATTACTAATCTGAATGAGAGATGTTTAATTATTTAAAATGAACAAAATTAAAGATACTTTAAGAGGTAGAAATCAGATCTGGACAAAAATTATTTTAATTATTATTATGGGATACCTACTGTAATTTTACATATTGTACAAATGTTCATTTAATTGTACTAATCGTTGCTCAAATGGTAGAACTGTAATCTATATATATTCTGTAGTTCAGATTGTATTATTTCTTATCAACATAAAATAAACATAACGAAACCACAGAAATTTTTTTAAGTTCTTTAAAAATCTATATTTTACATCGCACCTTATTATCTATTTATATTATTATATAATTATAATTATTCTTATTGCCAATTAGCAATATTAATAAAGGAGAAACCATTATGAGAATAAGAAGTTCTGCGCCTTCGTTACGGCCATTCTCGCTTTTTATATGTAAAAGAAAATATGACTCAGCCACTAAAAACATTTGTATGTAATAGATATATATTAAAATACATTATTTAAAATACCTGGTATTTTGTATTTTTGAAAGACGTTGTATTTTAATTGAAAAGTATTTAAATTGTTTGCAAAAAAAAAAGTATTTCAAATACGAAATACCAAAATACCATTTTCTTGCTTGATAATTTATTTTTGTGCATTACATACCTTATTCATCCATTACATGTATAACTTTTTTTACATTTCGAAGGTACTTTCCCCATCTTAAAAAATATATATTATAATATATTTTTATAATTTTACGTTCATAGACACAATCCTTGGGATAAGAGGGGAGAAGAATATATTTCGTCATCGCCCTTGGGAGGACATTACTACTGTAGCCAGTACCAAATAGACCGTCGGGTAGTGCAGTACATCCTGGTGAAGTGTAGTAGATGAAAGATCTTATTATACAAAACTTCTTGATGTGAAGACCTCGATAATGAAGCCGAGGAAACTAACAGTAGTGGCTCTATCTACTTTAGTTTGGTGTTACAGCTGCCGTCCATTCCGTATCGCCAAAAAGCAGAAATGTAAATAAATAATCTACCGCCAATCATACATTGAAAGGAAACTGATGTTGCACGAAACTCACGTTTTTCCAACAAATAATATCAGTAGATTCTATTTATAGCAAAAAAATCATACTGTTATGATATTTGTTTATTTAACAATTTCAAGCTTTTTTTGATGCAGCAGGACACACGGATGGGGATTTTTAAAATGCTATTATTTTTATTCTCCTTTTGTTTCAAATTTATATATATATATGACAATTAAATTGACACTACCTATGATTTTGCCGATGTACATGCTGTAAAAGTACTATATTATTGCTGGAGTCGCAATAAAAGGGATTCCGAATGTTTGCAATAAGAACTCAACTTCAAGTCTTTCATACGAGTTAGCAAAACCAACACAAAAAATAATAAGTAAGAACTTGATTTGTTGTAGGTATTCAGGTTCGACCTTTCAACTTCAATCTCTCTTTGACATTAGACTAGCTTCACATATGACGTAGATCGATTAGAAAGCTGATAAAATGAAGCTTCTTCTTTCTAATTCCCAAGTTTTAATTGTAGTTTTCAAATTTATTGTTTGAGACTCCACCGATGACATCAAGGCACTCTGTCGAGTATATATTATGACGTAATATGATCACGTCAACAAGTGTTATTATACCTTCTAATGTGTTCGATTTCATCTTCTCTGGTTTAGAAACTGTTCGTTAGCCTAATTAACAATATCTTCATTAATGGTTTTATTATTTGCGACAAAAGTTATTTTAATTAATTTTACTATTTAAATTTTTCCATTAGACATGAAAGTTTATGGTATATATCTAAGATTTTTAAAGATAATTCAAACAGTATTTGATATTTTATTTTTAACTTTATTCTGACCTTCATTAAAAAAACAAATTATGATTTAGAGAATTATAACGATATAGACACCAATAGTATGATATAATTCTTACCTATAGCGGATCCTAATTTTGAGAAGTGCACTAGACCGAACAGTCAGACACTATCCACTGGCTCTGGAGTGTTCAAGGACCCTCCTGTATATATTGGGACGAATTTAACTCCACCTACTGGATTGCATAACTCCGATGCGTGACATCAGGAACTAAGTGCTGCTGTTGTCAGTAGATTGATTTTCTGATAAGGTTTTATGTTATGAAATTTAATGTTTAATTTCATAAGATAAAACCAGGCTGTTGAATCTTATCGGACCAAATGTTAATTTTTTCTAAACCATTCCATCGTTTTATTTCTGAAACTGGAATTCTAGCTACCAAAGACAAGACTCCTCTTTCATGGGTTGCATTGGTGCATATTTATTTTATTTTACTATTACTTCTTAATAACCCATAAAATAGTTGAACTGGAACACTTAAAAAAAACACTTTAAACACTTAAACACTTTAAAAAGACCAATTGTTTCAAAGTATAAAACCCCTTGTAGTTAGATGGATGGGGTTCTTTGTAATAGACTGTGCTCTCGTGACCTTGACAGCTCCATTCATACTTCGGTGAGTGGTTACTAGGTAGGGCCCGGATCTGCAGATCCAAATTTATTAAGAAATAGATCGTAAAATTAATTTTAAGATCTTAAACGATTATTAACAATAGTTTATAGTACGAAAATACAGAAGTATTGGTAGAGCTTAAACACTGTTTAACATGAAAACCGTAAATGAACACGATAAAACTGAGTAGAAACATTAACTATAATGTTTACAAAAATTAGAATTACAAGAATTACTGTTGTTTAGTAACAAAAAGAGTTCGTTCCTAAGCCCAATGCTGGTTCCAATGATCGATTAAATCCAGCAGCGATGGTCATGCGTTTATGCTCAAGTTAGGAACGATCTGATGGATTCCAACGGAAAGTCAACATTCCTGAAAGGTTACTAAACACATGAAACATACAGAAATGTATAAAGAAATATTTATCTACCAAATCGGTGAATTTCCAAATATATATACCATTAAAAGTAAAAGTTCCTTAACTCATCGACTCGCCATCGTTTCGTATGACTCGTCGTTTCGCACGGTTTAGAAAGGAACCCGATGTCGTCGATGAGCTCGGCGCTGGGCTTAAGAAAAATTGACCATGGAGAAAGAAAGTAAACTTATATAAATATGTGAAGCAAATTGAGACATAACAACACTAAGGTTTCATTCTGTGGATCAATCGAATTCAAAAACGAAGGAAACTATCAACCATCAGTGATTCAACCTATGCGTTTCAGAACTTGTCCACATATTTATATGATTGTGGGAAATAGTATTTGCTAGATTTCTTGAAAATATAATCTCGTAAGTCGACCAATTTTCAAAAACTACGAATTATTTCTAAATTCAATTGTGAAATTGTTAATGGTCCTTCTTCCTATGGTAGAATTTTTCATTATTCGTGGAGTTGATAACGAATAATTTACTTGAAGAGAAAAACATTCCATGCTACATTGTCTGATATTTAATAATGGTGAGAAGTCTTATTCATCTATTTCAGAATCTAAACAAAGAGAATTGTCCACGTTATATATTGGTGTAGATTGTAAAGCATTAAATAAGATAATCAAATGAAACGCCATGTGTCAACAGCAAATCTTTCTGTGAATCAAAGTAGAATATAAGTAGAAAGAGAATTGACGATTTTCTCAGTCTAAAAACACAGATTTTTTCTTCTAGGACAGGAGTATCCATACTACGGCAAGCGAAAGTTACTTTGATTACTTAGTAAAATTTTCAAAACTATTAACAAAAATTGTAATTTAGCAAATTACTGGAACAAGAGATTACTACATTGGCTTTTTCTTTTAGAAAGTTCATTTTACAACTGAAGAGTCATTTATAGAATGAGATTTTTTTCTTCACAAGCCATGACCTACGGGACATAGTTGGAGAATTTCATGGATGTCACAATGTGGCCTATGGAATTTAATGGAGGTCTCAACGTGCCCCGAGGGATTTAAAGGAGGTCTCAATGCAGCCCACGGACCAAAAAGTTTGAAGACTCACGGTATAGAATATTACTTCCTGTTTTCTAATCAAATATCTAGATATTACGAGGTCTTTACTATTTTTTTCTTAATACACTAATAGCTAAAAAGCCAATGACTTAAGAACTATCTTGTAATTATTTATTCCAGATAGTTACCTATTCAATAGGTTTAAAGTAGATTCATATAACATTTTATTATTTCTGCCTGTAGTTCCTAAATGGTCATAATATATATCATAAAATGGTTATATCTTCAATTGGGTAAATAACAAACTAGAACAAAATAATTGTTTACGTATTGTCTGTTCGCAATGCTTTTAATAAACGAAATTTTAAGGTTCTTACAAAATTCTTAAAAAAATGTTTTCCAATATTTTTGAGTTGGAGTGTTCGGTTGAAGGTTGAGGACGTCGATGACTGAACTCCTTCCCTGGATGGGTCGAGTACCGAAGAGTCATATTTAGGTCCATTCAATCTTACCGCCAGAGGGAGGGCTGTTAGATAGAGAGGGATGAGATGGATTTTAAAGGAGGGCTTGCCCTTGCCCGGTCCTCAAGAGGGCAAATCATTTCATATACCAAGAAGAGTTTCCTGCCATCGAGTGAACCGTCGAATCTTCGAGTTACCTTTGCTGAATATCACGTTCTTTGTGGTTCAGATAGACAGGTCTTAAGAATGTTGGTATATTGAAAGAATGAATCAGATATCAAAGAACAAGAATGAATGAAATGTAAAATGAAAAATTAACCATCACAGTTGATGCAGCTTGAATAAATTAGGTTGTTTACAATATAGTTTAGTATATAATAGATGATTGTACCATTTTGAAATTATGTTTTAATATGTTGCAGTAAACTTCTAATGCTCATCTACTTATGGACTTGTACAAATGTTCTTGGTCTCTGAATATTAACTGCATTGATGGAGCTATATTCCTTTTTTTTTTTTTTTTTCAATTCTTCATATTAAGTGATAAGATAAAAAATACAAATATCAACAGGTCAAGTTTTGAAGATGTTAATCCTACTGGCCCAATTCCTATCTTGGAAGATATTGGCCAGGCTGGCCACGAGTGAGCTGCCTTTATAATAATGGCCTACAAAACAGGTTTATACAGCTTTAGAAATGTTGTTGAATTGATGTCCGAAAATAAATAGACCAATAATATTATAGTCCGTGGTACAGACCCCTTTTATCGAATTATTAACATCCGCCTGAAACTTCGTAAATAGTTTCATCTCATCGTAACCTACAACTATTTTATTTACGAAAACTCTTGGAATTGGGGCGTTTTCGATCTGGAGGGAGGCAAACTTTGTCTATTTCATTGGGTCTAATAACTCGTAAATACCCATTTTCTTTCTATTTGGATCGTAAGATAATTTGATCACGAAATCGGGAAATAAGGTGACCTTCAAAAATATTGTGCCGTTTGGCGTGACGTACACCCCCAAAATTTCAAAATAACGAGGTTATTTTGCAAACGGCACAATTTTTGTAGGCCACCTTTTTTATCGCTATTGTGATCATATTATCTTACGATCCAAGTAGAAAGAAAGTGGGTACTTACGAGTGTTTAGTGTCTAATTAAATAGATTAAGTTTGCCCCTCTCTAGATTGAAAATGCCCCAATTCCAAGAGTTTTCGTAAATGAAATAGTTGTACGATGAGATGAAACTATTTCCGAAGTTTCAGGTGGATGTTAATAATTCGATGAAAAGGGGTCTGTACCACGAACAATTAAATCCAAGTAGGAATTTTACGGCATATCAATGCAATATATTGTAAGAATGCTCTTTTTAGACCTTCTAATAAACTAATATAATAAATAAATGAGGATGAAATAAATAAAAAAGTATGGTGAGTAAATTAAACTTTAATTCTGAAAAATACAATGAAGACAACTGTTTACGTCATCAGGCTACAGAATTATAGTAGTTTCAACCTTTTTTCTATTTCAAAATAAATAAATAAAATAATTATTAATTAAAACGATTAACCACAAATCCCTAAAAAATAGAGTTAACAATTATTCAGAAGATTTCTAATTCTAGTTTTGCTGTAATAACTATGCATAATCATGTTATTTCTTATGAGGTTTTCATAATAAAAATAATGTTTCAAGATTATATTAAATTTTAACAAATCATTTTTATTTAAACAAGTTTAACAGTTTAAAAGCTATACATAACAACTTGTAAGCAGGAAAATCAATGGTTTTTAATACATTAAATATGTATCTCCCCAGGCCATCATAATCCTACCATCTTAATGAATACCTCACTATTACTAGTTCGTTAAACATCTCCATTATCTCTTTATTTTTCGTGACTCCCAACCATTGCCCCGATCTATTTGCTGGATCGTTTATTATTCTGAAGACATTCTTTCCAGCAACTTAATATTTTTTTTTTTCAGTCATTGTTTCTCTGCCATTTATCACAACTGGCCGTTTGAACATCCGATATATCATCAACTCGACTTTGCGATTTTGGAAACGGATTGCATGTAAAGATATATTGCCAGCTGCCAGCATGGTTTTGTTTCGTCTTTAGATATTTGAAATTTTCCAACATTAGAATTCTGACCACATATTTCGAAGTAAGGGTCATTTCACTTCGATTCTGAAGGATATCATGTATTTGTACTGAATTGTTATAAAGACTATGTACCCTGGAATTATCGAAAAGCTTCCCTTTTCACAAAATTTCATGGCGATGATTTGATATAAAATGTCTTCATGAAAAAAAAAAATCAACTGTTTATTTGAAATAAATATTTAACTAATTGAATGATTAAAATATTTAATATTTCTTAAAAACTTTTATTACTTTTATTCTGAATGACTCCGTATCTTCATGCTACAGCTCATCAATTACAATAAATAGCTGTTATGTTTTCTGGTTTAGTGGTTAGTTGATCCAAAACTTTCATTAAAGTGCTACACAGCCCAATTGGGTATGTGTATTTCTGTTCCATAAACAATATAAGGTGAGAAAAATAAACTTATATTGAAGTCGACTGGAAGGAAGAACTTAAAATATTGCTTTCATCAACGTATTGTATTCTAAAGACAACTCCATCTAACTAAAAACGTTTTCTGTCAAGTCAGTTTTTTTACAGTATTTTTGTTATTGGTTATTTTGTTTTCCACATTTATATTGAATGTTATTTTCTTAATTTGATCACGCTTGATGATGTAAAAACCGCTGGGAAGTGCTAGTGAATAGTATTTATTATTATTCTAAAACATTCAGTACCATAAACTTATAATTTATAATCAATATTATAACAGAATTATTAATGAAATTAGCATGAGTTGATTGATAATTGGTCATGCCCACTTTGGTTATAATGGGAAAATGGGAGAAGTTCAAGGTTGCTTCCTTTTAAGGAGTTTTAATTTAATTGGCTCAGTTGCTTTCGTCAGAACCTCAACGCTCATTTTCAATGGAATCTGGGTACTTTCACAAGGTTCGACGCTGTACTTTTTTAAAATAGATATGAGTCCCATTTTTGTCTGCAGAAGACCGAACCTCTTTCCTAAAACAAAAAAAATAAAATTATAGATGTAAAGAGTAAAATAATAAAGAATATTTTTTGTTTCATTAGTCATTCCATCCAGTCATCCATGTTTTGTAACAATTCTAACTAGGTTGTTAAGAAATCAAATTAAGTTCTATCACAATTAATTATTAAACTTATTGATTATACCTACACCGATTCCAAAAATCGTATCACATTCAGTTTAGAAGTTGTTGAAAACATAAAAGTGTGGAACCAAATAAATAAGCAGGAATATTATAATTTTCCTATTTTAAAGTTTTTCGGTTCTTCTAAATTGTAATAAAAATTCTTTACTAAAATGTCAATTATAATTAGGTTTGTAATATTTATACATGTGTGTGTGTATGTGTTTACAACAATAATACATAAATAACTAACAATAAATTGTTACATAACAATTGTCATGGGCCGTCCGAACTTCAGGGGTGCTCGCCACATGTTAGAAATAAAAAAGAAGTATTAAAAAAATAATTAATTTTACTAAAAATAATAATTTATAAAGATAAAAGATAATTTATCATTAACGCAACTGTATCAGAAAATTTTTGTATGAAATCGCATTCAAATATTACATAATATAAATCAGTTAAAGAAAAAAAATTATATATTTTTTTGGGAGGACGTGCCTCCCGCCATGACGTCATTGCCCGTGGGCCCCGAATGTCTACGGTCGACATTGCATTACAGCGCTAACTGACAATCAATTGTTAAGTCAACGAAAGACACAGCCTGAGCCAATGAATAAAGTTTTTAAATTTAGGCTAACATATATTTTGAATAAACTGTTTTTACATAATCGAGTCAAAGTTTTGATGATCGGTGATCAACGGTTCTTTACGTTTCAGAACCCGTTGTGTTCGAAAGACGCATTTCAGGGATTGTTAGGTTTATGTGTGTGAGTGCTATTATAGTCTTTTGAATGGATGAATTGATTTGGTTATGCTTACATTTTTATTTTATAGGGTTTTGCCCTCCGATGCCAGTGAAACAAATCTGTTGAGTGAAAACATTACATATTTTTACATACTCTGAAATTGTAATAATCGATATATCTTGATATTACAAGCGTTTTTAGATTGGTGCGATTCAACTGAATTAACAAACAGTTAAATGAGAATAAACGTGTTAAGTCTTAAAATGTGACTATCACATTTAGAAACATATAATATTATATAAATGTTTACTTATTAACGTATTAAAATTATAAAGTTATATATACCAATGCAAAACCTTGGTCCTTCACCAAACGGCAAGTATGCATATGGATTGATGGTGTGTTTATTTTCTTCAGAAAATCTTTCTGGGTCAAACTTGTCTGGATCTGGAAAATACTCTGAATTGCGATGTAGCGCCCAGATGGGAATAAAAATGAATTGTCCTTTTTCAATTGTATCTCCATTTGGCATAGTGACCGTTTTAGTGCACATCCTTGACATGGTTCCAATAGTTGGGTATTTTCTCATGGTTTCTGAAATATATTATCGATCAATAATATTAAAAGCTTTAAACAAATTGTTTCATTAAATCATAATTTAAATTAAAAGTAACCATATTATGGCATCTAGTGAGGTTCCCTTACCTCCGTCTCTTGATAAGCATCAAGTACTAAACATTTAGGACCAATAAACCCAAGTTTTTAAAAGAAGGAAGGGAAGGTGGCCATTGGATATTTTTTGTGCTATACATTGCTGCTCTCTTCCAGAAGTTATCGCTTCTATTTCTAATAGCAGGGATGCCTATCACCCAAGGTTGAAAGCACGTAAACATCCGCTCCCTTCCTTCCCAAGAAGTGTTATTGCTCATTTCTTTTTGAAAACAGAGCAAGCGAAAGTATTATTCGAAAAATCTTAGATAATATACTAATAAATTTGGTGCAGTCTGTGTTATTGTAAGTTACAGTTCTTTGTTTTCCCTTTACTCCTGGTTTGTAACATCATTCCGAAAATGAATAACCCCATCAAAATGTGCCCATTTCAAATAACGCCCTTTGAGAGACTCTTTTCTGGGAACCCCTTTCTAATAGATCTAATAACTTTGGATCATTAATGATGTCATCGAATCTGAATAGGAAGGTCGTCCCGCAATTTTTCACCGGGAACGTTTCTAAATTGTTGGTGCCTCCTAGAGGGTCCTCTTGTCCCTAAATGAGGTGCTAAATAAGGGGACGGACCCTTCCTCAGTGATATGTGGCTGGTTCTCATTTTATATTTTAGATTGCCACAAGTTGGAAATAAATAATATGGGATAATTATATCTCTTATGTGATAAGAGATAACGATCCAGATAAATATGATAATTACGTAAGTGGAAGGTTGTGCACTGACCCTGAGTGATATGACCCTAATCGTAATTACTCTAAACACATTCCATATGTGATCAAACTTAGAACTGCCCCAGGGAAGGTCAGATATATAATGATGAGCAAGATTGGTTTAGAAAATAGCCAGGCAGTTTGACAAAATAAATGAAAAGAAAAAGACATAAAAACTTTAAATAAGACTAGACATTTCAGTCAACTTTCCCAATTAACAAGCTGTCACAAAAACATTAACGAAAATACAAAATGGATCGGAGAACAGTTAGTACATTTATTTTCTGTTCATGTTTTACTAGTTCCTTTGGGAGAGGTGGTAAATTAAGAAGTTGACTTCCTCACATTCCTAGTTATTTTTAAACTATAGAAATCAACCATATTTTTTCATACTTATAAATTAAATAATATTAAATTACTTATCGATAATGTTAAATTACAATTCAAAATAAAAATAATTAATTGACGCTGCTTACCTGAGACTACCATATCCAGATAGGTCATCTCCTTCACAGCATCGTAGGTAACACCAGCATGCAGTTGTTCCATCCGGTCTATCTCGGTTTGGACTCTCTCTTGCATTGCAGGATTCAAGGCCAGCTCATAGAGGCAGAAGGACTGGACTGAGCTGGCGGTTTCGTAACCAGCCACGAAGAAAACAAAACATTGTGCTGCCAGCCTTTCCATGTTCAGCGCTAATCAGCAAAAAAGTATTACTTTTATTTCTGTCAGATAATTTATAAAAAAAATTAACCTTCGAGGTACTAAAATATTTACAAATAATAATAATATGTATATTCATCTATTATATTTTTAAAATATATTTTAAAAAATCGTTATTTATTTTCTCGTTAATTTAAAAAAAAATGATTCTGTGTACATTAATTTATAAATGACTAACTAAACTCTGGAATATTTCCCTGGCTTTCTTCTCCCTTCTCATCATCCAAAGTTCCTTTATTTTTAAGCTGAATCAAGAGGTCGAGAAAGTCTTTCCTTCGGATATTGTTCTCTTCACGCTGCTCAACTGTTTTCTTTACGAGGTTGTAAACCAACAATTGACTTTCTTTTTTTTCTGGTGTACATCTAAGAAATTAATGAATTATTCGTCTTAAAAAGGAAGGGTACATAACACAACTCATAAATTCCCTAATATTATTATTCAAAATGGAATATTAATTTTTATAATATTTTAACGTGGAACTATTACGAACCCTTTTTGTTAATATTTCAGGCTCTTTTTTCCATGTTCAAGTCAAAAAGACATATCTGTAACAACTATTATTAATTTTTAATTTTTCGAAGAACAATATAGCTGTTCATAGGTATCAAAAACCTCATTAATTTCTTCCTTAAGTTCATGGGTCAAATGTTCATCACCAATCAGGGCTAGACTTTTAAACCGAATTGTTGAATGAAGATTTTAAAATATCATAAACGTAATAAGTATTTTATATATTTCTTATGAATGTCACGATATTTTCTAATAAAAATCTATACTCCATGATCTTTTGTATAGTATTCAAACTAAGACTTTGTTGCTATGAATCCGTAATAATAATTGAAAAAAATCATAACATCTAGAACTCATGAATTCACGCAATCAGTAAAATGTGGCAATTATTTGATTTTGCTTTCACGCTACCCTGATCTAGAGAAGCTGTAACGTAAGATGTATTATTGTGAGAATAAGAAAAAGATGTTTGTCTTCGAAAGAAGAATTTTCACTCGTTTTTTATGTTTTATTGACATAAAGGAACAGATTTATGTCCACGAAGGTTTTCACCTGCTAACGATAATTGAGTTTTTATAAAATTTTCAGGGATTGTGGGTGTTGGTATCTAGATGGTCACAAATCAATTCTGTCAAATTCAATCCTCTTATTTCTCCAACGTCGATGCAATTCTAATTTATTCAATACACCGATATATAAAAATATAAAAACGGTTCGTCTAATTTGAGTCAAAGTTAAAAACAATCCAGTGACTTGCCTAAAAATGGTTGAGTACTAATTTTATTAAATTCCATCAACTAAGTTTGCTTATACATATTTCCTATAATCGATGTCTTGGATAATGCTAGAAGACATTTCAGTATCTAGAAGTTACATTTAATACAGTACACTTATTTTAAAAATGACCCACATATCTAAAGGGATTTAGAAATAACATGGTCATCGCCTCGTAGTTACATACAATGAAATAGATTTGAATTAATTTTACACCTTGGAGGTAATATTATACCAAAAACTGGGACGTTATTTGATGACGTAAGTACAAGCTGATGGAGTTACTAAATTGGTCATGGATCTTTTATGGAACTAAAAATTAGTTCTCAATAAATTTTGTACCTTCTAAGGTATCCTTTTATTTTATTTTAATATTTGTTTTAAAGACAAAAATAGTAATTATCGGCTATTATAGTAATAGTAATAGCTATAAGAAGTCAATTGACTTGGAAAAAAGCATTTGATTCCGTAAATACATACTCATATTAAAAAAAAAGTATTTTAAATGGATTACCTGATTTGAAAAATTTCTGCAAGCTTTGGGAACGTAGTTGTTATAAGAAATGCCACCATAAGCCTAAGATTTATATTTAATATATTCTTTCCAAGTTGAATTAATTCACTATCTTTTTCCTGCATGACGTTCGTGTCCAAGCCAAAAGCGCAACTACAAAGTATGTCTGTTGTGTATCTGGTAGCCAAATCTTTCACATCAATAACTGAATTGACGTGTGACTCAAGCAACGAATCAAATGCCTGAAATGAGAGTGTATTTGTTTAATAATGCATAGAACTAATCCAATCAAAAATGTATGCATGCATATGCATAGGATTACGAATTTGTATTTGTGAACATTAAAGAAATGCAATTCAATGTAACATATTATATAAAATAAATACAATAAATTCATGAAATGTAAGGAAATTTCTCAGAATTTAAATGTCCATAAATTAAACTTAAATATCTCATAGTACGAAAATTTTAAGTGTATTTAAAAAAAAAATTAAGAGAATGCCTGTTCAGCCTTTAACGGGATTATTCAAACGTGCAGTGATGTTTATTCAATAGGCTGAGGTTTAGCAATACCAGGTTTGGTCCAATATTTCTGTACACAGCTGAATGAATACCTTCGACATTCGCCGACTTGCAATTGCAAATTAAAGATTTATTGCTAGAATTCGATTCGAAGACTTCCTGCTAAAACTGAAGAGATCAACTGAATTTATTTAAAAGATAAATGCCTCAGTATGAATTATGTTCTTAAAACTAATCCGAATTCTGATCTATATGCAACAGTACCCATTTAGAGTAAAAGCTAATTATTGTAAATAAAGGTTTCTAAAAAAGTAGCTTGAATTATTTTCATAAACGTAAATAACAGGATCAGGTTCATTGAGTTGGTCCCTTGTAAATACGGATCGATTATTACAATAAAAATCTGTGTACAAAATAGTTTTATAATCACTTTAAGTAATTAATAAATATTTCAATAATCATTATTTTAAAATATAAATTAAAAGTGTATTTATGCAAATTATGTTTATTATAATACATTCCAGAGCATGGACAAAAATTAAAGCTTTTAAAATGATTAACTTTAGTCATGTTTGCGCTAAAAACACGGGTCCGTTCAGATAATAGGATATCAAACTCTCTTTTTTGTACAAAAAAAGCAGATGAATCTCAATTTATTTCGTAATGAGCCCTCATCTTAATTAATATGGACTTAAATCTTATAAATAGAGAAAATTTGTCTAAAAATGAGGTATCTGTAATATAGTTGTAAGATAAAAAAAATTAACCAATAATTCATTTTTTTAAGCAGAAATTAGCTTAGTTTAGCCACTCAAAAGTCTGATTTAAACCTAAAGTTTTATATAAATTTCATTTTAGGCATGCCAATAACTTCTGTAACAAATATATCTCTAGTTCAGTTGAATGTTATGACACATTTAAATTTCAGCACATTTATTATTAGTAACATTAGGGCACTAAATTAACAATATTTTCTTAATGGAATCATCAAACATTAGTATTCTAAATTTATTCATTAAGAATCTGAACTTCTAAACAGTTTTGTTTAATTTAATACCTCCATCAAGTTGTAAATGTCGGTGTTAAAAGCTGGTTCAAAAATTAAAAATAAGATTATTAGTTCTACCTCAGAAGTTTTGAGAAATAATGGAAACATAGCCTTCATCCTTCCACTTGTAAACGTTGGACTCAGTTTGTTTCTGAGAGCTTTCCACTTATCACCTTCCAGGTTTATGAGATGCTGCGAAAGCGTATCAGATTCAGGTCTGAAAGAAGTAAAATAAAAATAAATAAATAAAACTGTTGTTTTGAACAACTAGCAATGGACCCATGTGTCCATTTCTCCGAAAGATTGAAGCTACTCTAGTACACATCCGCTGATAGTTCCGTGGTCTACTTCCTGTATCGACAACAGAATAATCAGCATACACAAATTAAATATCTGTTTATCTTATTTAAACTATGTTCAGATTTATTAAACAAGAACAATACATGTAATGAAAAAGATACACCCCAAAACATTAATTTAATTCTGCTACCTCCTAGGTATGGAAATTTCTATATATAGGTATCAATATATATTTTAGGGAGTGGTCACATGGTAATGCAAAAGACTCTGGCAAACCATGAATTAACCATCGGATATAGACTAATAGAAGCTATTTGATTTTGGTTGTTGACGTGTGTATTAGTGAAAATATATATAACCAGTTGGCCCGCGCGAATAATTCACAGAAAATTTTGTTTAATGGAAAAACAGCAAAACAATATGGAAATAAGTAGTACGTATGTATTATGTAAGGAAGGAATTAATATTTTTTCCTTGGTCGATTACAATATTCTATTAAACATAATAGACCAAAATATTTGTACAAATTGCTTTGCTAGGACCTATCTTTAAACACTGGCTGGAAAGATGATAAAAGTAATAAAGGGAAAATAATTCCCCGATTATGAGTTTTTCTAAATTATTAAAAAAAATAAAATGTAAAAACAACCAAATGTCTTTAAGAAATAATAAAATTAATATATCAGCCAGGAAAAAATAGTGTAGTAGACTATTCTAATCCTAAATATCTTTAAACAGGAAGACTTTATTAAGTATACCAAAACTAATGGACTGTATCTTTGTTAATAATTGTCCGATTTTTTTTTTGTTTTTTAGGTAATTTATTAGTCTTTCTAATTATCATGGGTACAATCCAGAAAAAAATTCATACTTTTTGAATTATTCACAAATAAAGTTCTTTTCCTCCATAACTTTTTTTCCAGAAATTTCAGGGGAATGGGACTATTTTTCGCATCTGAAGGAAAAGAATATCTTCAAAATGAGTGGTCAATTATTGGATTTCATGAATAATTGACGAAGTTATGGCGTACCGATAAAAAAACACCTTTTAGAAATAATATATAGGATAGAGGTTTTGTAGTTTGTTTTATTGGATTGGTTCATAGTTGGATCCTATCATTTAAACTAAAATATATAATATACTAGGAGGTAGCCCCTGTCCACCTAACTTCGGACCAACCAACACCCATTTTACCGGAGGAACCGCTAAAGAAGAGTTGGAAACTTAAATCCTGAACAGTTTGAAAAAATGTTATCTGGATGATGGAATTAGGGCGTAGTTTATGGAAACCCGCACGGCAACAGTGTTATGCGGGCATTCCACCTTATATGTAAAATAACATATCGGTCACTAAAAACTTCTTTATTCTCGTATAATAGAGAGAAAATATATTAGACAGTTCAATTCCCTTATAAATAACTTGATTTATTACTGTTCCGTATGTTAATTTATATATTACTAATATCGAAATTTTATTAGGACACATATAACGAACAAGATAAGATAAAGGACTTCTTATAGTGAAAAATTATTCCAGTTTATTGTCTTTTGCTTACCAATAAGGGGATTGTGGCAGAGGTGATTGATTTTCGGCTTTACGACATTATGGAGTATGGTCGAAAATATACTTCAACCACCTCATTTTATCCTTAATTAATGTCAATGTTTTTGTACAAGACGAACGGTTTCCACTCTGTCAAAGCCCGAAAGAAACATAAGAAACCAACTTTTCATAAGTATTCTAAACACACTCGGAGTTAAAAGTACAAATTCGAAACTTACACCTTAATCAACAACCTGTCCTTGAAGGAAGAAAATTCTTTTACTAACACCACTTGAACATATTCAGGATCTTTAATTATCAGGGTTGGCTTCCTCATTAGATACAAGCCGAAATAAGGCGATGACGGAAACTTTTTAAACATCTGAAACAAAAATCCAATTATATTTTTTAGTGTTTTAAAGTTACTTCTTTTATTTTTTGTTTATTATCTACCTCTAAAAACAAATCTCCCTGGAACTTTCTCATTAATGTCATGTCCATGTCACTACCAAAAGGAAATCTTCCGGGTATCGATGGTATCCCTTTCTCTTCGAAATACTTGTAATTGGAGATCCAATATTTGTAGATCAGCCATAGTATTATAATGGCTAAGATAGTTGCTGTAAACATGGCTGAAAAAAGAGAGAACCTCTGGTTATTATTTTCACTGATATTAACTATGAATTGTAATTAATTTATTTTTTTAAGACCGTCGTGCTAAATTGAATACAAAAACTAGTCGTTATCGTTGTTATTTTGTATTTTAAATTCACAAAATAAATAATTAAATAGAATAGCTTTCCTATATTATCAACTGATTGACCTCCAGGAATATTTTCTTTTTGTAATTAAAATACAAAATTCGTCTGTTATTATTTTTTTTCGAAATAACTTTTCTGAAAACAATTTCAATTCACTGTTTTAAAAACGCAGTTGGTATTTTAAATATTACAAAAAATATAATTAAAGTACTTTCAATTAATAACTAAATTACTTTGCTCAACCTTACAGTAACTTCACGAAATGAATTTTCTTTGTTTTGTTTACCAATTCTACCCCAAAGGTCCATTGGCGTTTGTGAAATGTTTAATGAATCAATTATTATCTCTTAATTATTTAGAATTAAAAAATATATATATTGAATAACAAAATAAGCTGCCATTTTAAACTGCATTAAGTATTAGGGATCTAATATCCGATCATAAAATACATATTTTCTTAAGATAAATATAACACGAGTGATAGTAAAAAATATATATATTTTGTCCATAAATAATAATAATAATTAAGACAAGTAAAATAATATATGTACATCACAAATAAATCTTGTAGGTTAATAAGTAATTGTTTTCAATTGAAACATAGAGGAATTGTTAATAGTTGGATTAAACATTATGTTGGAATAGTTATTTTTTTAAAATATCCAATAGAAATGGTCGTAGGATGTATATGTATAAATATATTTGATTTTAATATTTATTATTATTCACTAACGTTTATAATTTACAACTGTTTACATTAATATTTATTTCAAAACCTACCCCTATCGCTTTTTAATGATTATGTTTTTATTTTTTAATATGTATACATTTCTATGTTTCATTATTTTTTCCAATGTTAAGGAAAGTTCTATTTACTCTTTAAGAAAAAATATATATCACGTCATTTCTAATATTATTATTCATTCTAAAATGTTCTTATGATTCATATTATCTATTTAAGAAACCATACGATGAAATAACAAACTTAAAAATAATTGAGTCCATCATGTATTGTAAGTCTAATGAAAATATCTAAGTACTCAATTAAAAAAGTATTTGTTATTTTCTTTTAAACTGTACCATCTGTTAGTGAGTAAGTATAAAATATAATAAACACTAATAAATAATTATGAATGGTATATATTTACCTGTTGAACCCAAAGTTGACAAACGTACAGCAACACCGGACTACCAGATAGCACTCCTAGAGCTCACTGGACTGCTCAAGGCCTCTCCTGTTTATATAGAGACGAATTTAAATCCGCCTACTGGGATGCGCAACTCCGATGCATAACATACGTTTAGACTTATTAAGTGCTGATTAACTATTAGTTATTAATCGATTTACAGATAAGGTTTATCTTATCACATTTATATTGAGTTGATATTGAACTTCGTCAAGTATTCGTTAGTTTTGTTTTTCCCAATAGTTTTATATGAAGAAGTTAAGTAGTCAAATGTAAGTCGGCGTCCACGATGAAGCCATCAGGCCATTGTAAAAAGAAACGTAAGACCAACTCGCCACTTTTGCCAACCCAAATGCCGGATGTCAGACCCAGGAAATGATGGAGGTCGTCCTTGACAGGGCTTGAAACGAAAAAAAAAAAAAAAATTGTATTTATAACTGTTTTGGTATCAATTGAATTTTTATTGTCGATTGTTTTCAGTTTTTTTGAAACTAGAACTTTTTCCCTTACCATTTAAAAAAAAAAGATTTTAATTCTATTTAAAAGTATTGTTGATTTCGCTAAAAGAACAACCTAATAAATGATCTTTATTCTCAGCCACTCAAACAAACGATACATTATGTGCAATCCATTTACATCTAACTTATAACTCTAAGTCCAATTACTGGTTATTTTTTATTTAACTTTTTTTCTAAACATGAGTAAATACAAGTTGAAAGTATTTCTTATACCTGGAACGTTTTTACAAAAAAGTTTCTTATAACTTTTATGCTAAAAAGCTTCACAGAAACTGTTTAAATGGAACTTTTTTAAGGTCCTGATCATTGAATACAAAATATGGCTTATTTTCGAATTTAGCGTCTTTCTCTTTTATTATTATTTCGCCATAAGTATAACGATTAGTTCTATGTAGATTGAAATTGAAATATAGCTCCACACTTTTTAATTAAAAATTGAATTTATAATAGAATTGTAATATATATATTGTAAAAATGCTTAAAAAAAACAACGACAAAATTTAATTATATTTTTACTTTGTCTTAAACTATTTAAAAAAAATATAATATAAAAAAAAATGAAATGAATAATGATTTAAATGTTTATATAAGCCAGTTTTTTCGTATTAATATATAAACAGTATGCTCTCTAGATAACATTTAAATAAGTAATATGTACTATATGCTATATATATATGGTACATTTGTACTAGTCTAAACTTTTAGATTTAATATTACAATGATCAAGTAATGATGGTGGTAGATGGCTTTGTTAGGGTTCCTTCATATCGCTTCAAAATAAACTATTTCTCAGGTTCCTCTGCAACGTTCTGGATTGAAGATGAGGCTGAAAAAGTACAGCTCCTCTCAGTTTGATATGAATTGTACTTAATCAACAACATGAGTGGCGCTACAACTCCTGTAGAGTCAAGGCCTCCCACAGCTTGGTCCGCCAGTCTTCTCTATTGGTTGCCGCTCCTCTCCAATTACGGATTCCCAAGTTGGACCTGGCATCCGCTGCTACTCCATCGATCAATCGGAGCCGAGGTATTCCCACTCTTCTTGTCCCACAAGTCCTTTCGTCTAGGACTATCCTAGAAATCTGATCCTGGGTCATTCTAATTAAGTAACCTGCCCATCGAATCCGACCCACTTTAATCACCCTCACGAGCTCTTGTATTGGCTCAAACTGAGTCATAAATTCTTCTCAATATTCTCTTCACAAACCTTAGGAGAAGGACTTCCTATGAACTGCGTAATATCCAGCATTCGGAGGCGTAACTGAGAACTGGTCTTACCAGCATCTTGTACAATTGCACCTTTTTGTTTTGAGAGATAGCTCTGCTCCTGAAATGCTTCAGTAATCCAAAATAGCTTTAATTTGCGGGCATAATTCGGCGATGGATTTCTGCTTTTATGTCATTATCTACATGCAGAGTGCGCGCCCCCCTATAGAAGATATATATATATATCTTATATATCTCTATATATATATATATATATATATATATATATATATATATATATATATATATATATATAAGATATATATATATATCTTATATATCTATCTTATATATCTTATATATATAGATATATAATGATATATATCTTAATAAAACAACTAAACTACCGGAACTTTTTATTATTATTTCAATTGAAAAGTGAATTGTATTAAAAAAATAATTTATATTTATATTTTGTAGCAAAAAAAAAACGAATACTTTAAAAAGTTTGAATATTTACACTAAAAATTCTTAATTTATTGGCGAAATAGCTGAATATCGCAGCTGAAAGTAGTTGCTAACTTGCTCAGTTGCGGCTGGAAAAGAGCCATTGGGATCTCCTGGAGCCCTACTTTGCCTTACACATCTGTGGAAATAAGCCTGGCTCGGAGATTCCTGGGTGAATTTATATATTGTATATAGGTATGAATGTGTATAGAAGTTTTATTTTATTTTTTTATCAGTATTATTTATTTACTTTTTATATTTATTTCTCTATTATTTGAATATATTGTATGAATGAGAACTTTTATCCTTAATACTTATAGCCATCCAACAGTGGCTGATTGTATTATTATCCAATAAATAAATTTTTCAAAAAGTTAAAATTGCTCTGATTTTGTAGAAAATATCATGCAGAAATGTCGTGTTTTAGTTTCATATATATCGATTATCCAGTTAAGTAATTTTCACTGCCAATTTATGACAAAATACTAGGCGAAATAAAAAAAACTAAATACACATTTCACACTACAGTACACATATAAAATAAATAAAATGAAATATTTAAGAAAAAAATGTACTCGGGTTTTATTAATAATAATTATAACAGACATTTTAAACTTCAATCACCATGTCATAAAAGAGAAATAGTCTAACAGCCCATGTTTTTTTTAGTTTTTTTTATAAACACAATTTAGTTGACTTCAGGATTTCTGCTAATTCGTCGTCGGATTGTATTAATACGATTTTTTCAGTGTTCTTCAAACTTAGAATTAAACAAGTTCCACTGAACCAGAAAAACAATAATATACGCACCCTTGAACATTTTTGATATTTAATGGCCAGATTCTTCACTCAAGATATGAGTGTATGTGGCTTAAGTGCTCTCGACCAATCTCCGCTGGCTTTAGTACCAGTGACGCGGTTGAGAGAGTAGCGCAGGGTTCTCCTGGAGTTCCCTCGCCTGATTGTATATAAGTATGCATGTGTTTTTTTTTTCTTTCTTAGTTTTAATTTTTTTATTTTTTAGGTTATTTTATTTTATTATCTATTGTATATACTTTTGATTATTATTTTGTTCTATTTATTTTATTTTGTTGTACATATAGTGTGAATGTCATCCTACCTCAATATAACCAATGTCCAAGACAGATTGTTATAATGCTCAATAAAGAAATTAAAAAAAATAAATAAAAAATTAAACTTTATTTATTAATAATTGGTTACAATTTAGCTATTCCAAAATATGTTCCACACTTTATCCAATATCACAATTACTACAGTACAAAATATTCTTATTAATAGGTAAACGAACTGGAAAGGAAACAATATATTAAAATAACTGCCCTAACAACCTATTGCAACAGATAGGAATGAGAGAGACATATAATCATTAATTCAGTTGGCTTCATAAAGAGCTCAGCATTGACCCAATGGAAGGAGTCAAAGGAATTTCCTCTTGACAAGTTTTAATTTTATTGGCTCAGTTGTCGTCGTTAATGGAGCACTGCTCATTCTCAATGGAATTTGAGTACTTCCGCAGGGTTCAACAGAGTAGTTTCTCAAAATGGTTATGAGTCCCATTTTTGTCTGAAGAAGGCCAAACCTCTTTCCTAAAAAAAAATAATAATATGAAATAAAAATTAAGTAAATATATACATAATACATACACTAACACACACACGGTGGTTTTTAAGTCCGTCACTAAAAATTGGTTTCCTCCGCAACCTGATTTAGACGGAGATAAGAATTGAGCCAGATGGAGGAGCAATAATTTTAAAAGACGAATAATTAATTTAAGGTTTGGAGAATTTTCTTTTACTTTTAATCGGTTTCTTTTTATGTATTGTTTTGAAATAATAACATCCAACCAGTTGCTTTTTATTATTTTTTCCCCAAAATTTGGTATTATATTCATTGATAATTTATTTAAATTTTTTATCACTGAATATTTTACAATTGAAGAGGCTGGTGCACTATCTTACCACCTTTATATAAACTCATGGGTGAGACAACACGATTTCATAGTTATAAAACATATGTTTTATTGCAAAAACTAATCAGTTAACATTTCATAAAATTGAAATCAGCAGCTACTTGGTCGACCATGGATGGCTCTGGTCCTAACTTGAGCAAAATTCACATCTTTTCAGATATTAATTATGATTTGTTTAACTTAAGGAAATATGAGAAGAAGAATTAAAAAAACTGTTACTTGACCAACAATTGTCCCACAATCGACAATCAATAATAGACAGCTATATAACTAGTAGACGGGCGCCACTCTTCTCAGACACATTATTTAAGCCGTGTAGAGCAATAGTTTAATCACACATACTTATCTTTAATTCTAATAAAGACTCTATTCTATCAGATTAAGAAACTAAAATAGTAGATCCTCTGAGCTCATGTAATTGTTGCAATTTCAGATTCATAATTAAAGCTGAACCAATAACCAAGTATAATATACCATATATGTTAATTTATATTAACATCAAATTATGAATGGTGATAAATAGTCAAGACGCAGTCATTATATACATTTTTTTATTCATGCCAACATTTCAACCCAAACATGTGAGTCATCTTCAGGGCTGAAAATTTTAAAATACAATCAGAAATATAATATTATACGACCGATAACGGTAAATAATAAACTATAGAGATTGATGGTGCATGAATCTTTACTATTATTACAATACACAATATTAAAAATGAAATATGTAAAAAGTTATAAAAACTAAAAATAATATATATAATCTATTTATAAAAATTTGTAATATTTTCTCTTACTAACCTTGGTTCGAACACTGGAGGCTTTCATCCCATGGTCGTATTTGTCTTAAGTTTCGTTTAGAAAACTGGTTATAATTTGTTTTACTAATGTTTCTTGAGGAAATTAAATGGAGTTTTTAAATAAATCGAATTGTATAATACCTTCTCATGCTTTATTTTTGAACTTATCACGAAATTTTGAGCTTAAAAAAATGTTAATTGTCTCTAGAAAAAGAAACTTCATTGTACGACAACTTTGAAAATTATAGATTCTCGATATCCACTACACACTAGTACTAAGAAAGAACATACAGTAACTGACACAGTAAGGTGTGATTAACTTTCCTGGAAGCCAAATAATATAAATTACAATACATGAGAAATAGTGATTTGTTGAATCGGTGTTATACAAAGTAGGAATATTTTGGAGTTTAATGATGTTTAAATATTTCTTTTCAATTTATTTAAGTTAAAAATTATATTTAAACAGTTTAACCATCTACGTTATCTTCTTCCATTCAAAACCCGTCATCTCTTGATTTCATCTCTTGTTTTCCTCCACTTCGACTATGGCTGTATGGTGGACTCCCAGAAGAACTCGAAGCTAAACTTAAACTTATAATGAATTGCTCAATACGCTTTATCTTCGGGATCTCAAGGCATATTACGAAGTTTTACACCGAGATGAATTGTCTGTATCCGTCCAACCGCCGCACAGTGTAAGAATCTCAAAGTACCCCCTGGTGATTTATTGATACTTTGTTTATTTATTTTACTTTCTCTGTTTACTATATATTTATGTGCGTTTTTATATCTTTTTATTATCTATAGTTTTATTTTATTACTAATCATCTTGTAAATATTTAATTGTATTTTATGGACACACCAGAATATTAATATATATTCTGTATTTGTAATTTGTTCCAAAGGGACACCAGAATAATAAAATTATTTTCATTCATTTATTTATTTATAGATTTAATCAACAAATTATCGAACGCTAAAACTTACTACTTATAGGCAGCCAGTATCTTTAAAGGTACGTGTTCATTAAATACATATTTGGACAATAGTATGAGAAAAACCTATGTCCATTTCACATAATTTTACAGAAGCAACAATAAATCTAGGCAAATTACATATGGTTGTACATTCCCGAGCTATTTCCAAGGCCACAATAAGGAAAACTATTAGACCAAATTACATAATATTTTAAACGGAGATCCACTGTAACTGTAGTATTGAATATTATTAGTCAGAATTCCAAACGTTTTTGAACGAAGTGATTTTTTTTTTCGAAGCTACTTAAACAACAATAATGGTTCTAGCGATGACTTTTTTAAATTTATTTCTAATGATTTTTTTTTTACATTTTGGAGGCTTCTGTAAGTGATATAATACACTTTTATAATAAAAAAATTAATTTAGTTTTAATAATTATTTAACTTATATTAGAAAATAATATTTGATTCGATAGATGCTAATCCTAAGGTCTGATGGTTGTGTAAGATCGTGTTAAAGTGTAAACATTAACATTCTCGAGTCTAGCGATGCCGGTTCCAATTCAGCCTTGGTGGCTTAAATTTTACTTCGTGAGGAATAAATCCCAAGCCGATTTTCAGGAAAAGTTTGTTGTAACATCACAGACATATCGTAGTTAGTAGTGATACAAAATAGGGAAATATATACTATGAAAGAATTTGATGATTAAATAAAGGAGGAATATTTCCCTGAGTCGGGGACGCATTATCAGAAATAATAATAATAATAATAAAAGGCTTAGCGAACCCGAAGGTTCGATGCCGTCACCACCAATCGCTTATTACACACCTCCCTCCACCGTTCGCCGTCCAAACCCAGTTCCTTCAGATCGGCTTTAATGCAATCTTCCCATCTTCGCTTCGGTCTACCCCTCGGACGCTTACCATTTGGCACCGCACATATTAACCTTTTAGGAATTCTCTCGTTACTAAGCCCAACAACTTTACAAGCCCATTTTATTCGCCGCGATGAAATTACCTTAATTATATTACCCGGATACAGCTCACGCAATTCGGCGTTGTGTAACCGTCTGAACTCTCCGGTTAACTCATCCTTCTTCGGTCCGAATATTCTACGCAATACTTTATTTTCAAAAACCTTAAGACGCTGCTCATCCCTTAATGTAAGCGGCCAAGTTTCGCATCCATAAAGAACTGTAGGCAAGATAATTGTTTTATAGATTCTAATTTTTAAGTTCCGGGACAAGAGGCGCGAACTAAGTAGTTTTGTCACAGAAAAATAACAAGCATTTCCCGCCTTCAGTCTAACCTTAATCTCTTCTTCAATTTCGTTTTTTCTAGTTATCGTAGAACCTAAATACCTAAATTTCTCTACCTGTTCAAACATATTACCATCTATATCGATATCACCAGTAGTATCGCCATTTTTGCAGCTAACCATATATTTCGTTTTATCCACGTTTATTTCGAGTCCTAGTTCTTTACCGGCAACAGTACCAGGTCATCAGCATAGCCCAGCACGGATGTTGTCCCGCCCAGATCCAACCCTTTCTCGGTACGCATTACCTCCCTAATGGCATGTTCTAATGCCAAATTGAACAGGACAGGCGAAAGAGAATCCCCCTGTTTTAAACCCGAACGAACCTCAAATTTTTCGGACAAATTATTACCGATTCTAACTTTATTGAATGTCTCCGTCAAGCACATCCTAGATTTGCTAGTTTTTTGGAATCCCCTCCTCGATTAGAATATTATACAGTTTCCGGCGGTCAATAGAATCGTAAGCCTTTTTAAAATCTATATACAGCTGGTGAACAATACCGTTATACTCCATTTTTTTCTCTAATATTTGCCGTAAAGAAAATATTTGATCAATTGTCGAACGATTCCGTCTAAATCCGCATTGGTAGTCTCCGATAATTTCCTCGGCGTATTCCGTGATTCGACTGGTTAAGATTAAAGTGAATATTTTATAACATACCGGAAGGAGTGAAATTCCTCGATAGTTATTACAATCCGTCCTCGGACCCTTTTCGCATTATCAGAAATACAATAAATATTTATAATATAACGTTGAAAACCTAAAGACTTGAAGAAAATAATGTTAAATATATAAAGTAGTATAGACTGACAAAAAATTATTATGTTTTATTCTTCATCGGACATGAATTCAAACCTTTGCTGTTTCCGATGCGACTCACATTTGCTATGATCATCAACAGAACGTAAGGAGAATCCTTATAAGTGTCTTGAATAAATTTCTAAAGTACATGCTTTGCACATGGATAGCTGATAGTCTCTGTTCAAGGTTCGGAAAACCTCATTTAATCGTGTATGTACCAGGAAGAAAATACCGAGTAATGATATTCACCGGCGGATCTACGGGGAGGAAGGCTTTAGTTCCGAAGCCCCCCAAAATGATATAATGTAACCATTTTTTAAAGAAAAAATGATCTCTCAAAGGATTATTTAATTTAAAGTACTATGTAATTTAATAGGACTTCAAGAATCACTTAAGCATTATTTCATGTAGGTGGTTAGTATTTTTTTTTTCCAAAGTAATTATCGTCATATATATGAAAACAAATCTTTCGGGCTAAAGCCCCTCCCCCAAAATTAAATCCTGGATCCGCTAGTGATGATATTAAATATATTACCACATTAACTGTCATTGAATTCGTTCGCGTAGTCTTCAATTGAATATAATAATATAATGATATCATTACAAGAAATTCCTTGAGATGGCATAAAACGGATGAAAGAGTGTTTATTTTAATGATCTTTATTCAATTAAATTCAAGTCCTTTTGAACTTTCGGAATTTGGTGACTTAAGTGAAGCAATAAATAAACTTCCATGAAAAGTTCTGAAAATAATGTTTCGCTTGACAAACCAAAAATATATACTGCACAGGATTGTTATATTTTATATCTTTAACTAAATTAATATTCTGAAGTTTTATCAAGCTATATAAAATAAATTTCCATTGAAAGTAGAAACATCAATAGTGTAGAAACATATTCGATACTAAAAAAACAAAAAAAAAAAAAAACAGTCTATAGGTAATCAGGATAATCTGAAAATCAGAACATAAAGTGCCCAAACTGTAAAAAAAACGATAGTTCACTTCAGCGAAAAGCATGTATTAAAAATTCTAAAATCAAATACGTACCAATACAAAATCTTGGTCCCTCGCCGAATGGTATGTACGCAAATGGATTGATGGTGTGTTTATTTTCTTCAGAGAATCTTTCTGGATTAAATTTATCCGGCTCTGGAAAATATTCTGGATTGTGATGTAGAGCCCAAACCGGGATGTAAAGGAATGTCCCTTTTTCAATTTCATCTCCATTCGGCATCGTCACTGATTTGGTACACAATCTTGACAAGGCTGGAAGAGTTGGATATTTCCTCATCGTTTCTGAAAAAAAAATTACCATCAAATCAATAATTCTTTTTGATTAACACGCTAATTGAGGCGTTGGCATAGCAAAACTAGTAAAGCAAGTCATGAAAAAGTAATTTTACAAAAGAAGAAAAAACCGTTTTGACTAATAAAAAGAAAGTTTCATTTGAAAAAAAGTAATGGAATATCCTTATATCAAGGATTATTAGGAATATTGCAATTATTTTGTACAAATTCATGGCAACTCGGATTCATGAATTCCAGCACAAAGAAATCTTTTTCTTTGGACCAATGGTAATTGATTTTCATCTATTTTATTACTTTACCATTTTTCATAATAGTGAAATTATGTTCACCTGAGACTACCATATCCAGATAGGTCATCTCCTTCACAGCATCGTAGGTAACACCAGCATGCAGTTGTTCCATCCGGTCTATCTCGGTTTGGACTCTTTCTTGCATTGCAGGGTTCAAGGCCAGCTCATAGAGGCAAAAGGACTGGACTGAGCTGGAGGTTTCGTAACCAGCCACGAAGAAAACAAAACATTGTGCTGCCAGCCTTTCCAAGTTCATATCTATAAAAAAAAATATATATATATATGCTTAAAACCACACGATAGCAGTGAAAACATTAACAACGAGGGTCTAATAATATGAAATATAAATATTTCTTTTGTTTTATATTCACAAAGTATTATCATTTACAATATTTTTTACTTATTTACACCATTTTTCCCCTTTTATGTCTCTCTAACACGGTGTTACGTGAACTACAATACAAAGAGGATGAAATGCTGAAAATTTTTCACACTTACAGTCAGTATTGTCCAAATGCAAGACCAAGACGAGTCTTCCGCACTCACTATCAGTCTTGGTCTTGTGCAAGAGTCTTGCTGTTACCTATTAGCTTATTGCTATTAATTAAATGTATTAGAATAGATCTTAGAAAAATTCTATAGAATATGTACATTTAGATGTTTTATTGGCAGAAACATAGTAAAGTCCAACCAAATTAATAAAATTTACTTAACAATACATTAAACGCATTGTAAAGAAAGACAAGCTCCCACCTTGGAATTGTAAGAGTTGTAAAATAAAGACAAACTATACAATGTCACCAAATATTTCAATAAAAAATCTGGTGTGTCCACTCACATGAGTTTTCTACCAATTTTATTTTATTTTTTATAATGTTAAATATGTTCATTAAAAAAACATAATTCAGTTAGACCGATAATCGATCAAGGAAATCATCAGAGCTCGATTTATTTGATGGACTAATACAATGTAAACAGGCAAGTGAATAATTATTAAAATCAGTGTATGAAATTCATAAGACTCTAACATTACAAAACTGGTCCGATTTAGACCTTTTTTTTTGTTTATAGTTTTGTCGGAAATTGAATAACCTTTTAAAGATTTTGCTGCTGATTATTATAGTAATGTCATTTTTCTGAATAGGGAAAAATAACTAAGGCTCGAATGAAAAATTGGTAGACTTAAATGCAAAAGTATATTGGTTCTACCAATTCTTTACATATAGTAACTAGAATTGACTAATATTAATAACTATGTTGTCTTAATTTTTATTCACTAAAATGTTTTGTTTTTTTATTTCTTTTTATTATTATTTTTTTAACTTGTTCCTGGCCTGGCAAATACTTGAGTTTTGTTATTATTTGGAGAGCTATACTCAAATATACAATTCGACAAAAAAAAAAAATAACGCCGTTGAGATTTAAGGCAAGACTAAATGTTATAGCACTCTATTGTATCTAAAAATAGTCTCAGTTTAACTTAACTGCAAGACGCCCGAAGAGTCCCGCTGGTGTATTGTTTTTTTATCAAATCTTGCAGGGTCCGGTCTTGGTCTTGCAACAATTTGGCGGTCTTGATCTTGCAAAACAGCAAGGCCAAGATCGGTTTTGGGAAACACTAATTACAGTGCGCAGATTTTGTTGTGATTTTTAGTTTCTTAGATAATTCAATCAAAATGTAAAAATTAGTCGACTCGAGCCGACTTTACCCGAACCAGCGTTACTTAGTCGATCGTGGTTCAGTCTCATTCAATAGCAACAAAATGAAGTGCTGAACGCTCCTAAAGATGTTTCACTTTAAAAAAGGACTACTTTTTTTATAATTTATGATTTACGTATAACTTCATAAGTAATGTATTGTGAATTTCTGGGTTAACATACTATTATTATTTCAAAAATCAAAATATTTTTATAAATAAATAAACAATAGAGGAACATGATATTACATTTGCAGATATATTTTAAAGAGTCATGATTTAGCCAGTGATTAGAGACTTCAAAATGTTTTATTTTTGTAATTATGAAAAAAGAAAATTTCCAGGATGTAGTCTTTAGGATTGAAATAACTAACCGAAAGGTGGAATATTTTCTTCTATTACTTCATCCTGCTCGTCGTCCAAATTTCCTTTATTTTTTAGTTGAAGCAAGAGATCAAGAAAATCCTTCCTTTTGATATTTTTCTCCTCTCGCTGTTTAATGGTATCTTTTACGAGATTGTAGACAAATACCTGGCTTTCTTTTTTTTCAGGAGTACATCTGAAAAAGAAAACAAAAACACAGTTGAAATACTTTATACGACTAATTTGTATGGGTTAACATATTATTTTTATTTCGAAAATCAAAATATTTTTATAAATAAAAAGCAAGAGAGGAACATGATATTACATTCGCAAATATATTTTAAAGAATCATGGTTTAGTTTCAAAGTGAACTAAACATAATTTACTTTAAAAAAAGAAGTAAAGTTTGTCATTGTAAAAACTATTTAAAAAGACTATTTAAAAAGTCATAAATTATTTGTGATTTTTTTTACCACCCTTTAACTGTAATTCATTTACTCCACGCTTACAAAAACTTCCTCGTTTAATAAGCCATATTAATTAAGTTGAGGTTTATTATGAAAAATTTGGAGATTCGCCTCAATTTGTGTAAAGATATGATCTGATTCATATCGAATCATCTTAAAGTTTTTTTGTTTTTTTCTCAAATTACTGCAATTAACTGTTTCAAAGCTTTTATTTTTGTTTTTTCGTGATATGGGGTGTATTGTAATAAACATAATTGGCTAAAAACGCATATAATTCATAAAATATTATAAAATAAAAGTGGTTATAAAATTCTGTTTTTCTCCCAGATCTACGTCATAGAATGTATTTATCGGAACGTATTACAAACTTGACGTTCCTTACTAAAATTTAAAATAAAGAAACCTACAGGTTTCTTAAATTTTATTCATGAAAACGTAAATATTAGGGCTAGAAACGTTAAGTTTGTCATTTATAAATAACCATCTATTTCTATGACAGAAGTTTGAGATAAAAACACAATTCCATAACCTCCTTACATAAAAAATATTTGAAAAATCAAGATTTTTAATTGTTATAAATAAATTGTGTTTTAAGCAATTATTTTTATTACAATACATCTCATATCACGAAAATAAAAGAAATTAAAGCTCTGCAACATTTAATTGTAGTCATTTTTCTTTTAAGAACTTTTTTAAACGGAACTTAGCTTAGTCAAGCTGCTCAATTGTAATCTTCACAACCAAGCACACGTGCACATCCAGATACTGAATTATTTGCACAAAGGAATACACACTTTGCATATTAAAGTTGTATTTACGTTAGAAATTCAGATTTTTTACAATTACAATACTTTCCCTTTTATATATTTCATATATAAACAAATGAAAGTAAATAAATTCTGTTTGGTTCCTGTTTATTTACTAAGCTTTTTTATTAATAGGCTTATCACATTCTCAAAATGGTAATTCATTTTTTAATTATTTCGTTGTAAGAACGTTATATATATACATACATCGAGATACTGATAAATAGCTATTCTTATAGCCATTGAACATGTATATGTCAATATCTATATCTTATCTAACATAGATACGATAAACGGAACAAATTCAACAATATACTTTATCTGTTAAATTACCTGAACTGGTAATATTCAGAAAATTTCGGAAATGTTGTCGTCATGAGGAATGCAAAGAGGAGCTTGAAATTAATCGATAATATATTCTTTCCAAGTTTAATCAAGTTACTATTTTCGTTCTCCATGACATTCGTATCTAAACCAAAAGCACAACTGCAAATAACATCTGTTGTATACCTCGAGGCCAAATCTTTTACGTCAATAATGCTGTCGACGTGGGATTGAAGTAGTGAACCATAACTCTGAAATGAGGATAATTTTATTTATTTAATCATAACTTCCAATTAATGAATGTGAATTCACTAAATAACAAATTATACTCTAGATATAAAAAATAAATAAAATATCTATAGAAATTTACAATATCCAGGATATATACTTTGCAATGCTTCGGCAATTTAAAAAAAAAAAAATTGTTTAAATGATGTTTCTTACTGTATTTCACTTGCTAACTCTTGATTATTTTGTTCTACGATCAAGTAATAAGGAAAAAAGTTTTTCAAGAATAAACATATATTATGTTACTAGTTTATCTTTAACGATTCAAAGTTAGATCAATTATAACTTTATATATAAATTCTGAAAATTTGCAGAAAAAATAATTTTCATACTATTCATTATTGTATGTATGTACAGGTATATATTTTAGAAATCAAAGTTATATATCCATCCACACTGACAGACACAGACAACTGTTCTGACGCTAACTCTCTCAGCATTATTTGTCTCTAATGTTTTAATTTTAGAATTCATTCGAAATTCACATTATGAGCTATTTTCATTTAAGCTGGTTATTTTAACAATAATTTATGGTTACCATAATCTCGACATGGAAATATCGGTGAGAGGTTTGCATAAGGGCATTTAGATCGCTTAACCCAGACCTGGGTTAAATTATATTAAACATAGTCTTAAATTATACTAAACATATCCGAGCTGATTTAACAATAGAAAAAATAACCATACCTCAGAACTTTTGAGAAAAAATGGAAACATAGTCTTCATTTTACCACTTGTAAACGTTGGACTCAGTTTGTTACGGAGTGCTTTCCATCTATCACCTTCCAAGTTGACGAGGTGTTGTGAAAGCATATCAGATTCAGGTCTAAAAGAAAAAAATAAAGAAAAGCTCAGGAAAAAAATTTCAGGAATCCTTTAATTTAACAATGGTTGTTAAAAAATGTCAAGTGGTCGGTGTAGCTTACCATTTCTTTTGGTTAAATAAGAAGAAACCATAGCAAGCAACAAATGTGTTGTTAAAAAAGTTATTTAACTTTATATTTAGACCTTTCAAAGACTAACTAACTTAATGGCGCTACAGCCCTAGTTTGGCTCACTTTAAATTGATAGCCATTTCTGAGTATCTTCCGCCATCCTTCGCCATCCTCTTACTCCCATCTTCTCAAATCGCCCTCTACGTCACCCAATCACCTCAGCTGGTCTTCCTGTCAGTCTCTTTCCGCTTGGCCTGCCATTCATAATATTTTTTGGTAGCCTCTCATCCGGTATCCTTTGAACATGGCCCAGCCATCGCAACCTTCCTCCTTTGATGTATGCCACAATATTAGGCTCACCTAAGAGCTGTTCGAGCTCTCTTTTTTTCCCTATTTTCAAATGGCCATCCTTATTTACTAGACCAAATATCTTTCGGAGCATCTTTCTCTCCAAACCTTCAGGATCGTCTCACTCCACTTGGTCATCACACAGCTACTCACTTCCAGATTTCACTATTATCTTCTTTTATACGGTAACTTTTGCCTTTGTAGACCATACGTAAAATGTAAGCAGCTAACTAAGTGCAAAAAGAAGTCTACTACCAGCTGTTATTCTGTCTTTGATCTATGCATTTGTGTCATTTTCTTTGGTTACTAGAGATCCTAGATATATGAAGCTAGATATAGCAGCGCTCGAATTTGTGTCGTTTAATATGAACTTTTTCTTCTTGACTTAATTTAGATGTCCTCATATACTCCTTCTTAGCATCATTTGTTTTCAAGCCTCTGCTCGCTGCCGGCGCTTCAAACTCTTCCAATGCTCCTGAAAGGGCTGGTGTGCACGCTGTGATGACTACATCGTCTGCATACGTCACGTACTCGGTAAGTCTGCTATAGATCTTTAATTTCCTCCGGGGTTGGTTCTAATTGCTGTTATCGCCTTTTCGAGAGGCAGGTTGAATACTATGGGCGAATATATGCCATGTTGTCTCAGTCCGCCTGCCACATCAAACTCTTCCGATGGGGATTCACCAACTCTTACCCGAGACTGAATTAACCTCACCAGTTTCGGAGGGACTCCTAGAGACCTGATATTCCTTGCTACCCTTACTCTACCTACCGAGTCGTATTCCTGTTTGAAATCAATAAAAAGATGGTGCAGGATAACATTATGTTCGTGACTCTTTTCAATAGCTGTCTTAATGTGAATATTAAGTCAGTTTTTAATCTCCCTCCTCTAAAATCAGATTGATAATTGCCAATAACTCTCTCAGACCAACCTAAAACCTCGGATTAATTGCTATGGAGAGGATCTTGTACATAACCAATAGAAGCGCTCTACCACGATAGTTCACGCATGTCATCCTGTTGCCTTTCTTACAAATTGGGCAAAGGATAGCTTTGCTGGAGTCTCTCGGTATACTTTCCTTAGCCTATATATCCCAGCATATATATTTCCCTGTGTATTTCTCAATGTTTCCTTTTTCGTCCTTATAAAATGCAGGCTTTGGTGTGTACCGTCTTTATATCTTTGACTCCTCGGTAAAAGTTCCTACTGTTCATTTTATCAAATTCTTCTTGCATCTGCTCTAGTTTCTCTCTCACCTCAGCATACCAGTCGTTTCTTCTTTCCTGCTATCTTGCATCAAGAACCTCTTAAAGACTATATATCTAAATTAGAGAAATCCAAGTACAACATGATGTTATTTAAATATACATATTAGAGGAAATAATATATCCACTTATATTTCTAAAAGAAGAAAGATTAAATGATCTGTTTGATGGGTAAATGCTTAAGTATTAAGCACTCTATGATAATCAAGTCTCCTACTAACTATCAATACTTAACAAGGTTGTGTTATCAACTTGATAATACGACCTGCACAATGAATAACTAAAATAGTATCTCTTCCAATTCTAAGCCGACAATTATCAATCCCTTAGGAAAAGTAGCTCTCGAAAATGATAATGATAAAAAATCGGATAAGGTCCAATATAATAAAGACCCAGAGTGTTAAAAGTCATTTAACATCAAGTAGGTAGATTAGGCATATGTTGAGCCTATTTAGTAGACAAGGAAATACAGAAAAAAATGTTATAAATTGTATTACGGTTGTTTAGACGTACAGCATTCCTTTTTAGATGTTTTATTTATAAGGAATGTCTTTCTGCATTTCATATAACACACATTTATCATTATAACAATCATGCTAAGAATTTTTTTTTTTTTAGAACAGGACTTTAATATCATAAGTTCATATGCTTTTATAGAAGATGATAAAGACTATCATCAATATTTGATTTGTACTTAAAACCATTGGAAACATGATAAAAATTTGATTTCAGGATTATTTATAAGAAAATTATTTCAAGAATCAGTAAACACCACTCATCAGTGGTTCTTTATCATGGCAAAGAACACTTATGAAAACACCAATCAATCAAATTGGAAAGTTCAAAGGTTGTCCAGAAGGGAGTTTGAGGGAGGCATATTTTGGCGGGATTATGAATGTTCGGAATGAAAACTGTCATATTATGAGGTGAGGAGAAAATATGAAATAGATTGCAGCAAGTATAATTGTGTAATTTTTATCACTAGTTTGCGTGCCGTGCCGAGAGAGTCTTTTAAATCCCCGCCCTAACTCCCTGGCCCGGGAAAACCCAGTATAGCCTTAAAGGCGAAGAAGGGAAGGACAAAAAAAGAAAAGAAAAAGCAAGTATAATTGTATATGATCTATGATTTTCTAATTATACCTTCTTTTTTTCTGTTGTAAGGAAAAGTGAGCGATAAAATATCTTGGGAGTGGGGGGAGGATGGGTTCTTGCGCCATCTACCTTGGCTGGAGGATGGGCACCCCTGAAATGTTCTTTAGTTATTCACAGTAATATGGTTAAATTTTGTTCCCCCCTTCAACCACCAACTTTATAACTTTAAGTTATCCCATCAGTGCAACTCTGTATCAATGCTTAACCTCGTATCCTCATTTATTCTCTTTCTTGGACCGTGGACGAGACGTTTATGGTGGCCTCTCAATCGTGCTAAAGACAGAATGAAGTGTATCATGGCTTTTTAAAACTTGTTTTTGATACCTCATGACGTCCCACATTTTGTTGAATGGTTATTACTTGGTCTTCTCTTCCATCCAAAATATATTTTCTTGGATTTACTATACCAAATCATCAATTGCCAGCATCCCTCCTACACTTACAATCTATAATCATTCTAATCATCAATCCTCTCATAGGATACAATATTCCGTCTTCTGATCTCTTTGCTTTTTCCAATAAAACTCATAGATCAAAGGTTCCTTTTTAGATCCCTACACTATCCTCTTTAATTCTGCCCTCCCATTATTCACCATGGTTCTTGCATGTCCATCAATGGCATCTTTTTTTAAGATTAACAGTTTTATTAAAAGTAAACTAGTGCTCTATTATTCTTGCTTATGTATATTGATGATAAAATATTGGCAGATAGATTTTTGTAATAATAAAGCTATTTACATCATGATAAATAAAATTTATAGTTTGTTATATTATTTAGAAACACCCTTTCCCTTAAAAAATAAAGTTGCTTACATCTTAACGAACAGCCTATCCCTGAAGCTGGAAAACTCTTTTACTAACACCATCTGAACATACTCTGGATCTCTGATAATAAGAATCGGTTTTCTCATTAAGTAAGCTCCAAAATAAGGCGATGACGGGAATTTTTGACACATCTGAAACAAAAGTTGTAATGCAAATTATCTTATAATAATACTAACCTTAATTCCGTTTTATTGTTAATTACCTCTTGGAACACTTCTCCCAAAAATTTTTTAAATAACGTCAAGTTGAGTTCACTACCGTAAGGAAATCTCCCGGGTATAGATGGAATTCCTTTTTCGTCCCAATATTTGTAATTGGAGACCCAATATTTGAACAGCAGCCATAGTAACGTGATGATTAAAATGAATGTGATAATCATGGCTGAAAAAAAAATGAATTGTTATAAACAGCATAAAAATATTATTGAGGGATGGAAGGGGCCTCTGCGTAACTTCATTGATTATTCTATTTCCGTTTTACTGCGCCAGGAATAAACGATGATTTGAAACTTGGCCAAGGATGAGTTTGCACTAGAATTTAGTTGTACTTCATGTAGTTACTTAATGGTAGCACCGTTTTCAAATGAAAATATACTTTTTTAGGAGCACGAGCTTATTTTGAAGTATCATAAATTTTAAAGATCCTTTCTTGCAAGAATAAAATTTGATGTAAGTTTATATTGGTGTCTATAAATTATCTTAATTTTTATTTTTTCAAAAATGTGAAATATTTAAAAAAAAAATGTTCCATCAGATCAATTAAATAATCATGTTTTTTAAATAAATTGTTTATATTCTTTCTTTACCACTATTTTGTTTTAATTATTTAGTTACATCTGGGTAACATAAACAACTATATAGGTCACTGGCACATTATTCGAATTTTATCACAATATGTCCATAAATTTCGACTTTTATTTTGAATATCCAAAAATAATTTGGAAATAAAAATAATAAATATGCAATGAAAAATATTTCATTTGAATTAAGAAAATTTGCCTCCAGTATTGCTATTAACAGATAAAGACAATCTATAATGCCCCTCAATTGTTGTAATAATGATATAACTAGAAAATAATTATTTTTGGTTAATGTCACGGGGAAAATCACAATGACGAGTACTTTTGACTATTGTATTTTTATTTATTTATTGGAATTGATATAATAACCGTACCCATAAAAAAAACAGGTAAATTTTTAGAAGCAAAACCAATTTTGACTTATATATATATATATATATATATATATATATATATATATATATATATATATATATATATATATATATATATACACATATAAGTTTTCACACAAATTCTCTTCTTTTTTTCTTGTTTATCGTTGAAGTTTGATTTACTGAGCTATATATGAAATTACTAACAGATCCAGAATTTAAGTTTGGGGAGGACTTCATCCCGAAAGTTGTTTTTTTTTTTATTGTATATATTAGGAAGAATAAAAGAAACTAACTACCTATCTGAAATGGTCTTTAAGTGATTCTTTAAGTCCTATTAAATGTAATTAAACAAACGATAATACTTTTAAAGATAATTGTTTTTATAAAACATGGTTATATTTTACCATTTGGAGGAGGGGGGGAGACTTCAGCCTGAAAGTCTTCCTCCCCCCGTAGATCCGCCTATGGATGAACTGTTCGTCCCTATTAACTTCTTCCATCTCACAGGAAGCCTCTTATACTCTTTTTCCAAAATTATTCATGGAAATGCGATTTTTTTTTATCACTTTCGGATTATACATTTATCACGGAGAGAATTTTTTGATGAAAGAAACAAGTAATAAACGGATTGGGCAAGGTCTGGGGAGTACGGAGTATGAGACAGAAAATCCTAATCAAACTGTAAAAGTTTCTATCTTATGGAAAATTCAGTATGTTGCAATGGCGACAGATACGCTTACTGTTTGATTGAGACATACTAACCTATCCATAGTACTCACCAGTTTTTTTCCCATCCAATTATTACTTGTTTCTATCGTTAACAAATTCTCTCCGTGATAAATATAAAACATTCGATAGCGAAATAAAAACGAATCTGGTTGATTATCTTGCAATTAAGTCTCGACAATTTTGCAAAAAGGATAAAAGAGCATTCCTGAGAGATCGAAGAAGGTAATAGAGGAGAACGGTTCATGTATGTATCATAGTAAATCAACCTTGAACAACAAATAAAGGAAAAGGAAAGAACTTATAGGACGACATAATATAGATGTATACATAACACATTACGTCAGGTTCACTAACCTGTTTTGAAACGGAAAGTTGATCGCACGCTAGCTCCCTCCCCACTTTCCTCAGAGGAGTCCCCTCTGCCACTGGGCTATTCAAGGACACAGCCCACAATTCAATACGAGGCGTGTTTACTCCTACTGAAGTCCACCACTCAGATGTCCACTACAGCGTCTGATACAGTTCCTGAGAGTTTTGCTGATAAGGTTTATCTTTATCACTTATGAATTTAAATTAAAGAGGCTAAGAAGTTGTTGCTCTAAAGGTCAACTATCGTTTAACCCACAGGCAGATTGATCAAGGCTGTAGGTTCGCAGCTCCTTCTTCCTCCTCCCTTCCCTACAAAAAAAAATATATATATTTTTTCATTGTTCCATATATGTTTCTATAAGTGATCTGAATCATCGTCATCAATCAATATGTCCTGAATTATAACCCATGTATCTCAGCTACCATATTAAAGCATGGGTCAAATAAAAATGTAAACATTTTATCCCTGAAAGCACTGTTGTCCCACTAACGAAAAAATTATTCTCTCCACAAAACTGTATTCCGAATCCACTAGTCATCTAGTCACGAACTTATTTTACATACGAGTATCATTAATTTATACTTATGTGCTCATAAAAACTTTTTTATGTTGAGTTTGGTCTCAGTAGTAAAATTTATTAACATATTCATCAACTGATAGATAGATAGATAGATAGATATAGATATTTTTTATTTGTTTTGGGGGGGTTCTCCATACAAATAGAGCCTAGCTTGGCTATTGTACAATAATATGGTTTTGCAAATTTACATACCATTACATATCATTTAAATATAAATAAACCTTACAATATTTTCCGTTTATAATGGGTTTTACAAAGCATGAAAAACAATAAAAGTTAAAAACATAAAACGATTACTGCATAATGATAGTTAAATGAACCTGTTACTATGATAGAACAATAAAAAATAAAAATATGTATATATACGAACAAAATATTACTTTTTACATAAACTAAAAATAAACACTTAATATAACATGGGCTATGATCAACAATTTTGTGAATGTACTTTGTGTACTCCCATCATATAATAGTAAACTTTGTTTACTTTGTCTATACAGTCGATATTCGATATAGTTTCAATGTTGTGGTTATCAGAAGATTCTGAGATGAAGTTATGGAGGAATTTTTGTCTATATTCATTGTATGCTGGGCAGTGAAGGAGAATATGATGTACACTATTGTGGATAAATTGACTGCATAATATACAAATTTCTTGAGATTCAATCGAAAAAGTTGTGGTTTTTGCATAAATTCTGATTTGTTCTGGATACATTTTCATCAACTGTAGATTTATGATTTCAAAATACATCCTAAAAAAAATCTGGTTTGTCCACTCACACGATTTTCATACCGATTTCATTAGAGTTTTCGTTTCTTTAAATATATCCTTTAAAAAAAATTGAATTATATTTCTTTATTATTTTTTTTATTTCATTATTATTTTTATTTTATGCCGCACATCGAAAACTTAACCCGATCTCAATACTTTCCTTACCTAGCAAAGGTAGCAAAGTTATAAATGAAAACATATTTAGAAAACAGAATCGTCGCTAATACTGGTTCGATTTGAATGATTTTTTTTGGATTAATTTAAATTGGAAAGTTAATTTAATTAACTTTCATAAGTTTTAATATATATTATATCATACAATATATACTTGACGAGTTAGTCCCAAAACATTCTTCTTGTTTTCCTGAATTTTCTCGGAAGTTTAGTACATGTAAGGAATTGGACATTAATTAAAATATTATAGCAAAGTTTCATCAATATCTTTAGAGCCGTTTTTGCGCTTCAATTCGTGGAAAAATATGTTTTCACTTATTGTTAATCTTGGCACAGACATACACACAGACCAATGGTTGAATATGTGTTTTTCAGACTCAGGGGGTTCTGAAACGTATAGATCCGTCGAAAAACACACATCGGAAATTTGATTCGATCGCAATACTTTCCTTAGGTAGGAAAGTAAAAAGTTAGTTTACAGTGCTTTTAACTGGTAGAAAGGTATTGAAAAGTAGGTGTTATTAGGATCAATAGAGATAGTCGTTGAGGGATGGAAAATTTGGGTACAAATTAAACACATTTTGTCCAGAGTTGAATATTTCCTGTTACTTACGAAACAAACCATATAGATAAGTTTTAAATTAATAGATGCTTCTTTAGGTTTTAAGTTATTAATGCAAAAATCTGGTGAGGCGAACCTCCCAATATTTCCACTTATCAACGTAATTAAATTTCTGGCCAGATAAGTTTCGTTAATTTTTAACTATTTAATCTTTTTGTCTTGGTTAAAGTTATAATAGCTCTCTGCTATATGTTTTATCAACCAGTAAACACTACTTGAAATATTTTCATTGGCATTCACTTAGCTCATAAGTGATAATTCCACAATGGCATGCCGATGCATTTCGTTTGTCAACCTTAAAAATAAATTCCGTTAAATTTATACATTTTCCATGTCTTTCTCTCTATTACTTTCTATGGTTTCATACATGAAATCATTATGTTTCCATATACCACTAATGTTATTTCCAAAAATTGATTTTCAACGTTTGAAAATGAGTCATATTTTTATTTTCTTTCAGTTCGAATTCTTTCGTAGTTTATATTCAATATTTCTTATTACTACTAACCTCGAGAGATTTATTTATTTCAATTTACCAGATTAAAGGTACTTTCGAGGAAGCTGTCTTCAAAAATTGTAGTTTTAAGATCTTTCAGATGAAATCAAAGAGGATTAAGTTTACCTGATATTTAAAACCATTTAATTGAACTTTGGTATAAGGATTTTAATGAAAACCGTAATAGGCATTTATAACAAAATGGTTAGAGTGTGTAAAATTATGTATGAAAGCCGATTTTAGTGAAAAGTTGCTGAAACATTCGATGCATGAAACACACACCTTAAATAGATAATTTCGGCTTCGTATGAACTTTCTGGTTTTGAACACACACATTCAGAACATTTTCCGAGGCTTTGTTATTTTAACTCAGGGAATTCAAAATGTGAATCTGTCGAGAACTCGAATACAATATTTTTCAGGAGCACAATATTTTTTTTTAATTCCTCATACTATTTCACATACAGATAAGTGAAAATAATACTAGATAATTCATATATAGGTAGGTGAAAGTGAAAGCTATTGGAATTCTAATCAATGTCCTATAAATATATATATATATAATTAGAACCTACGTTGCCCTCTCAGCTAACTTTTGGAATTCTCTGCCTTACGAATCCAGAAGTCATTCCTCCTTATCCACTTTTGAAAACCTTCTATTCCAATTCCCATTCACAAAACAGTCAGAAAATGGCTAACCATGTGTTAAATTTCAGTGCCTTGTTTAAAATAATCAATGTTTTATCACTCTCTTTCTCTCTCTCTCTCTCTCTCTATATATATATATATATATATATATATATATATATATATATATATATATTTATATTTAGTCATACAGTCAGATGCTTGGTTGTTATCAGGAGAGAGTGTTGTCCCTGAATCCCAATGAATTTTGCTTTGTATATAAGTTATAAATGTTTTTCATATTAATGTGTTCATTGTTATCATTATGAATAATATATATATATATATATATATATATATATATATATAATATATATATATATAATACATATATATATATATAATACTGTTGGGCTTTTTAATTAAAATTAAATACTGAATCAGCTACAGGCGGTAACAACTGTGTAACTTAACGTTAACGGCAACTTTCCGCAGTAGTTTACAAATTATAACATCCAAACACTTTTAAATTATAGTCATAATGTCAATAACATTTCTAATATTATGCTATATTAAAATCATAGTGGGTTATATCTGTTACTTGTTGTAATAAAAAGTTGTTATTTTGGTCAATGGTTTATTTATTTTAATAACAAAAAATAGATATAATACATTCATGTGTAGTAGTCTAATAATTCTTATAACTCATTCTCTATAGAAATATTAATGAACATAACATCCCATTTTTATTTTGATATATCTCTACTGATACATTATTCGAATTTATAATATGTACAAAACTCAATGAAATTGAGTTCGTTGAATTGAGTCATGTTCAAGCTCAAGATTGAGGTACCAATTTCACAATTATTGTCTCCTTTGGAACTGTTATCATCGGAGAAGGACCAAGCACTAAAGGTATCTTAGTTGCAGCACAAGGTTCCACCCTACACTTCCTAAGTAGAGCGATAAGACCTACTTTAGTTTGAAGTTGTCCAAATCTCATGCCTGCGCAAATAATGTTATTAAATTCATTTTTTATAATTACTTTAAGTTTTATAGTTAATTTACTAAACTTACCTATACACATCCTGGGCCCTTCTCCAAAAGGCAGATAAGTGTATGGTTTTATCGATTCTTTATTTTCTGCCGAAAATCGTTCCGGATCGAACTTCTCAGGATTTGGGTAATGTTCAGGATCGTGGTGTAAAGACCAAACAGGAATTAAAACAGTCTCACCTGCCTCTATTTTATAACCATTTGGAGTTGTAATTGATTTTGAGCAACACCTCATTAAGAATGGCAAGGTAGGATACTTTCTCATAGTTTCTAAAAAAAAAAATATTTCTTTTTAAATTATTGATTTTTTATAAATTTAATTGATGATTTAATTTTTTTAATTTAACACTGCTTCCTCACTACCGAAGGTAGGTAAGCATTGTATTCGTGCGAGAGGTTAAAAAAAAATTGTGCTCAGAATCGAAAATTTCCACTCGCGTTTTAAGTTTTAGACATCTAGGATCAAATCTGGTTCGGTGTCTGTCTGTAGTAAAATCGACGTAACCGACATATCACCTACTAACGTTTATATGATTTTCATGAAATTTTCTGGGATTATGCGGGTTGGTGCCTAGATGGTCCCATATCAATTTTACCAAAATCCATTTACCACTTTCGCTTATTCAAGCGAAAACATATTGTTTGTTTTAATATGCGAATATTTCAGAAACGACTCGTTCGATTTGATTCAAATGTAAGCATTCAATAAGAATAAATATATAAGAAATCTATTTTATATATGAAATATATTATATATGAATGGAATTTATATGCTGTATGAAAATTATTTGATATGGATATGTTTTTCCATTTTTCTTTCAGAGTAATTACCATTATTTAAAAAAAAGGACTCTCCCAAAATTAAATCCTAGATCCGCATCTGGTTATAACACCAGCTATAAAGATATTAAGCATTCCAGAATTGTATTTATTCAACTCTATAATCTTGTGAAAAATACAGTAAGAGTCATGAAAAATCGATTATTAAGACAGTTTATATCCTGCTTATGGCTTTCCAGTTTTTCTTATCACGTCAATGATAATGTATTTATAATTTAATTCATTAATAATCGGGCGGAATTTCAATGAACAATACTTCTAAAATCAGATATTTAATTCCCAGACGATTCATTAAGTTACATCACATATTTAAAACATACCTGAAATGACCATATCTAAGTACTCCATTTCATATACAGCTTGGTATGTAAGTCCTCCGTGTCTTTCGATTGTTTCATCAATTTCTTTCTTTACTCTTGTCTGAATATCTTGATTGATAGCTAATTCATAGAGGCAAAAACTCTGTACGGAGCTTGAAGTTTCAAAGCCGGCAACCAAGAATACAAAGCATTGTGCAGCCATCAAACCAATAGTCAATTCTGAAATGAGCAATATATTGTTTTAAAAATGAAAACTTATATATATTTTTATTTTTACAACGTAATGACTTTTTATTCCCAAATCATATAAATAAAATAAACTGTTTGCGAATTGGACTGATAAGACAATGTAAAAGTAGGTTCATCACTAACATGATGAATTAAAGAATGTAAAATACACATACTGAGACAAGGAAATAGCTTGTCCAAAGTTTTCACGAGGGATTTTGTACAATGAAATTTTGACCCAATCAAAGAAGATTCTGTTAGGAGGTATAGGTATAATCGTGTGCACTTCTTCAATCTTTACCGGTTTTAGAAACAATTATTTCTTAGATAGGTCCATTCACTATTATAAGAATAAATGAATGATAAAGAGGAAGTCCGTATCTAAATACACCACCTTACATCAAAGGTACTGTTTCAGATAGCTTTGCGTTGAGATGTGACGTCTCAGACTTTATTAATTGTTATTTTGTAAAAAAGAAATTGTAAAAGAAAAGTTTTTAGTTGCTTGATCATTATAGCCTGATATTTCTGTTAGTTAGTTTTTCAACATTGAACACTAAATAGCTATCCATTTAAAAAGGAATTAACAATTTATATAAGATTATGGATTTTTGGACCATAAATGTATTGACTGAATAACTGAAACTTAAACTTTCTAATTATACCTCCCTCCCACACTCACATATGAAAAACATTATAGTTATAATCACTATTTAATGAAGTTTACTTATCACTAGTGTACAGTAAAACTAGATTAATATATTCATATTTATTATAATTTTACCAAATGGCTGACACTTTTGATCTTCTATTTCATCTTTCAAATCATCTCCTACAGTCCCTTTATTCTTCAGCTGAATTAATAAATCTAGGAAATCATTTCTTTTAATATTATTTTTTTCTCTATACTCTATTGTGTCTTGCACAAGTTTTACAACATAATCTTCTGTTTCTTTAGGAGTGAACCTTAAATGCAACATACCATCAAAGATAATTTTCTTACTTGGAATAATTAATACAACAGATTATATTAAGCTATTAAATAAACTGGATTTAAATGCAGTTTAGCAATAAATGCATTATTTTATATTTTGGTTTTATATTTGACAAAATTTCGAAACCTATCTTCAAAAAAGTCTATAAGGATTAGAATACCTGGCTTCAATTTTGCTGGCAACTTTTGGCATAGCTTGTATAACTGCTATTAAGACTTTATGGATAAACTTCATTTTAAAAAGTTGGGCTCCAATTTGTCTTAGCTTGTGATTTGGCTCTTTGATTGTATTGATATCAAGTCCAAAAGCACAGCTGCAAATAATATCTGTCATAAGTCGACCTACTAAATCTTTGATATCTACTTCACTACCAATTTTTGATAAGATCAAAGAATCAAAGGCCTGTAATAAAACATAAAAACAAAAAAAAAATAAACTTTTATTAGTTAAAGTTAAACAAGTTAAATACGAATCGACCAAAAAATTCAAAAACGTAACCCCCTCTCAAAATTTGAGGTTTTACGTTTCAGGATACGTAGATTCGAAAAAAACTAATAAATTTTTTTTTTGTCTGTCCGCCGTCTTTTCTCCGACATTTTCTCCGAAACTACTGGACCGATTTTTTGTTTTCAAATTTGGATATAAAATCAGAGGTCACCCGAGGTTGATCCTCCTTCATCGACATTACTACCCTTTTACTTTCAAAATGGCGGCCGAAAAATCTGCTTTGCTAAAGACTATAGCGCCTAAATGAATGTACCGATTTCACAGAAACTTCGCTAAAGTAATTTCCTCGACGCCCTTTAAATTTATCTATATAACATACATCAACGAAAAGGAGCTGGAAAAAAAGTTACGAAGGATGGTAAAATTAAATTCCTAATAACTCAAAAAGTATGCACTTTTTTGTTAATATTGTGATGAAATGTTTCAAAGGTGTTTAAATTTCCTAAAAAATGAAGGAAGTTTCATCGAAATCAAAGCAGTATTAGTAGAAATATTGCGATTTTAAAATATTTTTTTGTTTATTATTTTCAGTAATGAACCATTCTGATCGACAAAAAAATTCAAAAACTTAACACCTTGAGGTTTTATGTTTCAGAATAAGTAGAATTCGAAAAACGAATGCAATTTTTTTTATCCGTCCGCGCAGTTTCTCCGAAACTACTGGACCGATTTTTTTCTAATTTGGATATTAAATCAAAGGTCACCCGAGGATGATCCTCCTTCATCGACATTACTATCCGCTTTTTACTTCCAAAATGGCGGCCGAAAAACCTGCATTGCTATAGACAGTAGCGCCTAAATGAAGTATACAATTTTTTGTCAATGTTGTATATGGTTATTTAAAAGTTTTAAATTCAGTTAATTCGCAACTTAAATGTTTAAAATTAATAATTTTCTGTAAATATTACTAATTTTATTCATATTTTTTTCAATTTATACTAATATAATTGATCATATTTCCTTTCTTTAATTTTAATTAATAAAATAAAAAGGATATATCCATGTCTCGTCAGTTTAATGTGGAATGGACTGCTACACCTCTTCTTTTCATAATTATCAAATATGAGTTAATAGGATGACAAGGATTTAATGTAAAAAATATACCTCAGCACAATTGACAAAGAGTGGGAACATGGCTTTCATTTTCCCACTTGTAAATGTCGGGGTGAGTTTCACACGTAAGGCTCTCCACCTTTCACCATCCAGATTGAATAGGTGTTGACTAAGTACATCTTTTTCACTTCTAAATTAAACAAAAATTTGATATGATAACTACTAAATTAATAAATTGCTACTCAATTAAAAGAACTAACAATTTCCATAATCAAATATTAAATTTTGGCTATACATTGTACAATGTATAATACAATTAACCTTAACAGTTACATCGATGTAGTAAATCATAAAGAAATAAATATTACTTAATTTATTTATCACGTAAACTTACAATTTCATGAACATTCTTTCTCGAAAATGTGAAAATTCCTTTGTAAGTACAAGTCGAATGAGTTCTGGATCTCTAATTTGCAACATTGGTACTCTCATAACAAAAAATCCGAACATTGGATTAGGAGCTAATTTTTTGTACATCTGGAAGAACATTGAAATTATTATATATATATAGAATTTTCAAATTAATATTTCTTTATAACGTTGTATTGCAAAAGTAAAATTATAAACATCAAACCTCTTCTTGGATGTATCCTGGAAATCTGGAGTGGGTCAGGATTTCATAAGAGCTACCAAATGGGAATGTAGAGGGGTAATAAGGAATGCCCCTCTTCCTGAAGATGTCGTAAATAGAAACATAATATTTATAAAAAAGCCACCCTGCCAGAAGTGACAGTGCAATTGCTAACCACATTATTTGCAAAAACCTTAAGAACAAAACAAAGAAATAAATTAATTAACATTTTGAATAATAACTAAATGCATCATATTATTCTATTGACCTTTATAATGGATATGGATAATGGATAATGGAGATCACATATTATCTATAGCAATAAAACAATCTTATTATTGATAATACTTCACTAGGCTGTTGGCATCAGTGATAACACAAAGCAAGCAAGTTCTTAAAATGTTAATACTGCTACAAACTACAAAGAAATGTAGAGATCATTTAAATATTCATATCCTATAGACTAGGGAGCTACGGACCACCACGGATCATTTGACTCGAGGACTTACAGCTAATAACCATTTTAAATTCTAGATAAACCTCATCTAAAAACATAACTTCGGACAGTTGTTGAGTTGGTGCTTTCTGTACGAAAATTAGAATTAAAGTGGCGGAATTTTACGTTTCATATAATGACAGAACATACGGCTAAAATTTGGATATGATGTATAGGATGTGCCACTAAAAGGGAATTCGCTTCACCTGACGATGAACTCAGTTGCGTTATGAAAATTGACGATGACAAAATTACCGAATTAATCCAGTCTAATTGAACCCCTGACCGTTTTTTATGATGCTAAATCCGAAATTGAATTTTCTACGAATTCTTCCATTGCGTTTGGAGATAAATACAAAAAAACAGCGAATTGTCAGCACTTTTTTTTAGTTTTTTCACTATGACTCCGAAACTATCCAGTTTTTCAAAATAATTATTCTATTCAAAGTCAAATCATATAAAATTTACTATAAATTTCATAAATACTTCATGTATTTATAAGCAACGGGTAAGAAGTTGGAGCAAATTGCCTATTTGCGTACTTGACAAGAAATATCTGCCATCCACAATTTTTCCTCAATAATTCATAATCTGTTCATATCTTGAAGAAATTCAATATAATCCATTTGAAAGAGCATTAATTTTCCTATATGCTTCATGTCCCGTCCAGGATCGGGTCAGGATAATTCTGGGGTTGCTCCTTTTTGTCTATCGTAAAAGGCGATTACAAGAAGCACAAAATAGGCACGGCGACCCAACCTGTGTAAATTGTATTGATGAAAAACTTTTTAAAAAATCTCGAATTTTGACTGTTACATGGCAAACGACTCGACAGGAAATGGACTAAACATGTGATAACGATCGAAACATGGAACGTGCGTGGACTTACAGAAGCAGGAAAGAGCCATACGCTGGAAAACTAACTTAAAGGATATGAAATGGGTGTTATAGTCTAACAAGAGGTCAGATGGAGGAAAGGCTAATGTGTTTGATTCAAGTAAAGCCCTCACCAGCATCCACCACTTCGCAGTAAGTGAGAGCATTAAAATAGTAAGTGTCACTTTTCCACACAAGCTCTTCTTGTGTAAGGTGATGTACACTTAAAAACATGTACATCACCCGATGGCAAAATCAAATATATTAAAGTGGATAAGTGAAAGAGGAGTAAAGCATTGCACATAAATGAGAAAAAATAAAGAGAGATGTGCTAAAGGCAGCTGAAGTAACCACATGACAAGAAGCTGGAAATTAGAACAGTCAATGGTTTGACCAGGAATACCAAAATTCTGTAGAGGAATTTTTTTTTTTTTTTTTTTGTTCTTCCCTACCTCGCCTTTTAGGCTATACGGGATTTTCCTGGTGAAGGCGGGGAATTTAAAATCCCCTCCGGCACCGGGACGCGAACTCGTACTTTTTATATCATCTCAAATCTCTGTTATCTGGTTGCCAGGCAACTAGCGGTGTTGTGCACACGCTTTAGCCTATTCGGCCACCCCGCCCCCTCTTTTTTTGTGTATCGGAATAATGACATATATATATATATATATATATTATCTGTACTGCTATTGATAACATCTGCAGAAGTTATAATTGAGGATAAAAGAGGATTCCGCCCCGGAAGATCTACTATTGTCCACATACACATTTTCGCAAGAACATGTTAGAGAATTGTAATGAGTGGACCGTTAATTTACACCATGTGGTCATAGATTAATGAACAAAATTTACTGTAATAAATTGTTGCAAAAATAATATTGTCTTTTTTTCAATGTTCGGCGATGTATTATAATATAGCGATGTAATGAACATAGTTGCCTAAGTTCAATTTTTTTTTAAATGTTAAAAATAATGATTTTTCAAATACTTTTCGAGTAAAGTGGTTATAGAGGTGAGGTTTTCACCCAGATCTCTGTTATAGGAATTGAAACGCATTTATAAGCGACAAACTAAATGTTCCTAATCCTAATATTTACGTTTTCATGAAAATAATTGAAACAACCAGAGGGTTTATTTATTTTAAACGTAAGGTGAATCTCAAGTTTATCGTTATTAATCTTTAACTTAATTAATATGGACTTAAAGCTTATTAAAAGAGGATTTTTTTTCTATATGTTAGGTATTTTAAGTATGGTTGGAGGGTGATAAAAAAAATACCTAATAATTCATATTTTTTTATTTGATTGATTTTTTTTTTTTTAAACAGAACATAATCTATTTCCATTTGAAGTAAATTTTGTCTAGCGTACAGTGAAGTATTTATTAATTACTTATATTAAATATATCTTTAGTTATAACTACGTTTTTAACTAAAAACATGACACTATATAAAACACAAAATCTGAATTTCCTACTTGAAAATCAGTCCATTGGTAATATGAACTATTTTTTTAGTTCTTGAGGTCTATAATCTCATTAAATATTTCTCTGTTATTATTTAATAGAAACCTAGTATATGCAATATAAATGATCTTGAACGATATTTTTAAGTAAGATAAGATAAGAATGAATATTTTCATCAGTTGAGAGGTACCCATATCAGGTAACCATGTACTTGGTGTTTTTATTAAGCATACGATCGCCATTATCAGACAGTGACCAATATTTGAACCACTTGTGATAAACCTAATACGACTTAAGTAGATCGACATTGTCGTTCAAATATTAGTTCACTCCAATACTTAAACAAAGTCTTGGCATGGAAAACAATCTGAAAATTTTGGTGACCACTCAAATTTTTATTATTATTCATCACCTTATTTCCAATGATCACAAAACTATTTACGAATTGCAGTATTGTATTAATTAATACACACCTAAGCAATAAAGGTTTGCATATATGATATTGTTCTTTATTTTTATATTTAATTGTTTATAAAATGAAACCTTTTTAAAACTCAACGTTATATTTAAATTACTTTATTATTGGCTCATAGCTTTAGTTTAAATAGTGATTGTTTATCTTTGTGTTGTTACTTATAGAAGTAATCATCCCTCCAAAATCGAAGGCGATTGAACCTGTCCCACCTTTTTCCATGATTTTTAATTGCTCATCTCTTCTTTAAAACAGTGCATATGAAAGTAGAATTTGAAAAATCGAAGATCATATACAATTACACTTACTTTTTTTTGTTCTACCCTTTCTTGCCTTTTAGGCTGTACGAGGTTTTCCCGGACCAGGAGGTGAGGGCTGAAAATTAATGCCTTAATGAGTTAAAAAAGCTCTCTTGGACGCGCACCGGAAATTATTTCATCATCTCTAAATTCGGTTATCAGGTTGCCGAGCAAAGCGCGGAGGTATACACACAATTACACTTACTTCAGTCTGTTACATGGTTTCTTTTTTGTTCTTTGCCCTAAACTTTACATTCCAGTCCGATTTAACATTTCTAGCAGTTTCGATTTTGTTCGACCAACAAATGAACCAATGACTGTTGTTTTGTAGTGGTAGGGAAATAGTTAGACCACTGGCTAATCCAGGATTGTTTTTGGGGGCGAGGGAGGAGGCTTCAGCCCGAAAGCTTTTTTCCATATATGTAACGATAATTACTTTGAAAAAAAATATTAACTACCTCTATGAAATGGTGTTAAAGTGATTCTTGAAGTCCTATTAAATGTAATTACACGAATAATACTAGTTTAAGAGATGATTTTTAATATTTTTTCATAAAACATGTTTCCATTTCACCATTTTTTGGGGGGGATAAGGGCTTCAGCCGGAATCCCTCTCCCCCTCTCTGTAGATCTGCCTGCGACTAGGGGTGGGCGATAATCGATAGTACTATCGATATATCAATATTCGGTAGTTCTATCGATATATCGATAGTTTAAAACTATCGATAGTCTTAGTGACTTCGATATTTCATATCGTCTTCTAAGACACAAATTATAAAAATAAATAAGTGCAGGCTCTACTCGATTGCTTACACCACTACGATGCAGGTTCGATTCCCCGCATGGAGACGATAACGTTCCCACCCTGAGATTCACAAGAAGGTGAGTGACCCCTGTGTCTAATGACATAGCTCCTTGATCCTTCAGATTGGGTGTTGGACACAGGACTAATATCCCTATCCCTTAAAAAAAACAGGATAAAGTTGTCTGCAAAAGGTAGGCAACCATCCTGATGAAAAGGGAGTGATTTATGACCGCGTCCGTTATTATAAACTACGTGCTCTCTGGATATCTATTAAGAGACCAAAGCTATCGCATAGAACGACCCCAATACTACTAGAAGACTAATGGCGGAAGTCAAATAAGTCAAGAGGCGTTAAAAAATATATATATTAAAATTGTATATACTTAAAGGAATAATTTTAATAACACGTCTTCATTCTTTTATCTATTTATTGAGGTACGAAATATAGTGATAATATAACAATGTAAAAGTTAAATGTTTGATAATGGAAAACAGATATTGTATAATGGAAACGCCATATTAAGAAAATAAATGGATAGAAGTGTGAAGGCGTGTTTAAAACTATTCTTATCCGTATATAAAACTGAAACTAAATTGAACATGAAGAAGCCTTCAAGGTAAAAAATTATTCAATCTCAAATTACTTCCTTAGAAATAATTTTACAACTCCAGTTGCGACGATTTAAAAATGTTAGATTTACCTCACCTTTTTTTAATTTTTATAAAACATAATTATAAAGTCTGCAATGGTACTAAGGGGGCCCCAGAATAGGGTTTCATGGCGCAAGTTGCGGTTTTTGAATTTTTGAGGGAGCAAATTTTAACGGAGTTATGAATTTATGAACATATTTTTGTGACAAGGGAAAAACATTGAAGATACCGCACCATGTGCAATTGTACATGATCTACGATTTTTGTAATTCGACCTTATTTATTATTTTTCTACATAAATGTATTTTCCCGTCACTAATTCTTTAAATTATTTTTTTGATCATTTTTATCAGTGCCTTAACATAAATTTTTAAGAATGTATCAAATATAAATGTTAATTATTATAAAACGTATGCAGAATTTTAAAATAAATAACTAAAGAATACAGCGAAAATAAATCCTCTGTAAGTCAGTGTCGGGAAGTTACTAAACTATCGAAACTATCGATAATTTTTATCGATACTATTAAACTATCAATAGTGGAAAACTATCGATACTATTAAACTATCGATGGTGAAAAACTATCGACCATCGTCCGATAGTTAATCCCTAGCCAGTGAGCAGTTTTGCCATTTGTACGAGAATCCTCGTATTTGTACGAGGCTATGATGTATTGTACGAGGTACGAGGATTGACTAGCCTCGTACCTCGTACATAATTATTGCTCACGGATGCTAAGTTATATTTTTATAAATGAAGTTTAGATTTGTTTTACAATTATTTTTAATGTTTTATTATTTATATTAATATGAACATAATAAACTTCTGTTGCTTTAAAGACAAATAAATTACAATTATATCTTCTTTAATGAGGGTATGATTATTATTTCCTTCATAAAACCATGATTTTATGTATATGTATTTTTGTTAATTTTCAAGAAAACAATACAAAAAAAAATTGTTACTGTCATTGTAAGAAAATAATTCGTTTTTTATCTAGTATAAAATGGAATATAAAATTGTATATCCATTATATCCTTCATAAAATTACGATTGTAATAAACTTAATTTAAATAGATCCAAGTAAGCAAAATAAAAATAATTATAAAAATTACTATTTATTAATTTGATTTTTTTTATTAATTGTAGGAATATTTTATCCTTTAAACTGGTTATTTTTCTAATTTTATTTTTACAGTAGAAAGTTTGTAATAGTTTCTAAAAATATATACTCTTTCTTATATGTTTAATTTCGTACTTTTAATTAAACTCATGTTACTTTTTGACCTTAAATATGAACTTAAAAAAATGTAAAAAGGCTTGAAAATAAATGAATAGAGGTACTAAGCAAAGCTCTGATCTAAATTTACTTTAAAAAAAACAAAAAAACAATAACATTGGTCCTAGAATAGTACGAATTTTCAACGAGCAAGCGTACGAGGATGTACGAGGTTTGTGGTACGAGATTTTGTCACAGAGCGCGCGGCAACACTGCTTGTGAGTCAGATAACATTGACAGCTTGCTTGCCTTTGAAATACATTATCAGAACATTAAGTGCGAGGTTAGAATTATACGAACCTGGCGTCAAAGACTAGAACTATCCAGAAGCTGAAATGGATACGGCCTCCTGCTCAGCCAGCACTGACTCTACTTATCACTCATTCACTATATCAACTCCCTTCCACACTTGAATTCTAAACCTAATGCAAAGGTCAAGCTTTGACTGGCTAAAGAATAGGAAGGCTCTCTTTATCGTCTCCACCATCACTGACGTAATTTTAATTGACTCGCCCGGGTCGCGTAATTACAAACACTATGCCGGATTCAGACACCTGTCTGAACACATTTATAGCGTTTATAGCGGCTCAGACAGCTGATCCACTACAAACCCTACAAGGGTTCGGAAACCAAAGCACATGTCTAATTGGGTACTTAAGTTTAAAATTATGTCATAAATAAAGATTATAAAGATTTCAATGCTTTAACTAAATGGGAGGACTTTTTATTTAAAATAGTGTGGATATTGAATGACATTAATTGAATTTTGAACAAATCTGCTGATTTTCAATACCATGACAGGATAATTAAAGAGAAAAAAAATATATTAGTAATGGTTATATATTAGTAATAATATAGTTACTTCTATAAGTTCTAATTTATAAAAAAAAAAAAAAAAATTTCAATTATGTAATTGAGTTGCGCTATTATAAACAAAAGGAATTAATATACCTTATACAAAGTTCAGATTATATTCCTCCTTATAAATTATTTGTATTTATTTATCATGTAATAATAATAACGTACAGAATGTATGTTTTTTTACAACTCATTCTTTATAAAAAAAAATAAACAAAATTATTATCTCACTATGTAATCTAGTGGTGAGTGGTATTGATAACAAAAAAATAAAAAGTTTTGATTAAATTCCTGCTTATAAATTATTTATATTTATTTATCATGTAATAACAGAAACATAAAATGTATGTACGTTTTTTTTACAATTCATTCTTTATAAAAATAGTAAAAAAATTAATAACTCACTATGTAATCTAGTGGTGGGTGGTATTGATAACAACACAAATTAAAATGATTACAAACAGTTGTGGTTAAATTTCTGCTTATAAATTACTTACATCTATAACGAATACATATAAAATCTATGTTAATCTCAATGAAATAAATGTATTTTCCATGTCAGCAGGGATGCACAGGAATTTTTTAAGATGAAGAAGATCGAGGGACTAATTTCAGTTCTATTGGATCCTTTGGGATCGTTAGCATCGGAGAAGGACCTATCACTAAAGGTATCTTGGTTGCTGCACAAGGCTCTACTCGACAATTCCTTAGTATAGTGATCAGACCTACTTTAGTTTGAAGTTTTCCAAATCGCATACCTGCACAAGTAATGTTATTTAACTTGTTTGTTATAACTGCATTTAGTTTTATAGTTAATTTACTAAACTTACCTATACACATCCTAGGCCCTTCTCCAAAAGGCAGATAAGTGTACGGATTGATTGACTCCATATTTTGTGGTGAAAATCGCTCTGGATCGAATTTCTCAGGATTTGGGTAGTACTCAGGATCATGGTGTAAAGAATAAACAGGAATTATAATAGTGTCACCTGCCTCTATTCTAAAACCGTATGGAGTTGTGATTGATTTTGAGCAATACCTCATTAGCACTGCTAAAGTAGGATACTTTCTCATTGTTTCTAAAAAAAAGTTAGATTTATTTTTTAGGTTTTATATACATTTAATTACAAAAAACTTTAGAATCTTGATTTAGAAACTCGTGACAATAGCATTTTATTAAAAGAATTTTTCTAGACGGTTCTATATATATTTTCGGGGTGCTGTATCTGAAAAAAATACTTATCGACTAGATTCGGACATGGCTTCACTATAAAAAATGGCTAAAATTAAGGAAGTTGCTTCAATTTTTCGTGCATAACTCCAAAATGACGTATACTAGTGGAAAATCACCTACACCAAAATGAAAGCTGATAATTTTTTTTTTTTTTTCGTTTGGCCGGTAGAGCGTACCAAAGATTGACGACTTTAAAACCATCATTAGTCCAGTTGGATGAAGGAAAATTCAAATAGCCGGTTTCTCATGTTTTTTTGGGATGCTGAATCTGTAGTTTCAGAACTTTTTTCAGTTTTTTGGACATGACTCAGAAACTATGCATTTTATCGAAATTAATACTTTACAGTTATTAATAGTATGCAACTAAAGGTTAAAGACTTTAAAATTTGCTATCAATTTTATACTTAGCTTTTCGATGTAGGACTAACGGTTGGCTAGTTAGGGCATGTTGACTGGTTATATTACAAGAAATATCTGTTTTCGTTAGTTTTTCCACCAAAACTCATAACTTACGAATCTCTCGAAGAAATTCACTAAAATCAAATTGGAACAGCATTAACTTTCCTATGAACCTCGTGTAAACACGTTAGTATTTGAAATGGTTAAGCGGCCGTTAAAGCGCACGTAATCGAAGGCGTATTGCACTCTTAGTATCTGCAAACTTGGGCGCTTTTTATCTTTTCAATGCTTTTGATTTGGCTGATTTAACTTTGATTATAACAGAACTAGAATGTCTTGAAAAATGTCATTGTTTTTATATATTCTGTCAGTACAAGAGAAATCAACATTCATATGATAAACATCAATAATCAAAAAATTAAGCACCGAAATGCACTCCAAAGCCATTTAACCATCTCACATATTAACGTGTCTGCAAGTGGCACATTGAAAATTTAAAGCTCTTTCAAATTGATAAGAATTTCTTCAAAAGTTCCTTAGATTATGAGTTTTGGGGGAAAACCGACGATAACAGGTATTTCTTGTAAAATAACCAACAAGCCCTAATTACTCAATCGTTGGTCCTCCATCAAAAAACTATGCATAAAATTGATAGTAAATTTTATCTTCTCTAACTTTGTAATAGTATTAATTTTGATAAAATGCATATTTTCCAAGTCATTTCCAAAAAACTATTTTTAAAAAACCCTCTGGCGTTTAGCTGTTTTTTTTTTTAATATATCTCAAAACGTCATGTGAAACTTCATTCGGAAAAATCAAATTCAGATTCAGCATTCCAAAAAAAACATTATAAACCGAAGAGACACCGACTATTTGAATTTTTCTTCATTCAACTACCATTCGACTGGACTAATATGATGATTTTCAAGTCATCAATCTTTAGTACGTTCTACCGGCCAAAAAAAAAAGACAGCGAGCTGGTTCTAGATTTATTTTTCAGAAAATTTTATTAGCTTTCTTTTTGATATAGGTGATTTTCCTCTAGGATGCGTCATTCTGAAGTTGTACGCGAAAAACAGAAGTAACATCTAAAAATTTATGGTTTATTGCCATTTTTTATGGTGAAACCATGTCCGAATCTAGTCGATTTTTTTTTCCAGGTTATTTTTAGATTTTTTTTCAGATTTAGCGCCCCAAAAAACATATAGAGCCATCGGAAAAAAATCTTCGACAATGTTTTGTTGGATCGACTACTTTCCATCACAAAATGAATGGACTACTATAAACAATCCTTTTAAAACTAAATAGGTGGTTTTCCAAGAACCTTCATTGAATGTTATATGTTTTAAATTTACCTGAAATGACCATATCTAAGTACTCCATTTCATACACAGCTTGATAGGTAAGTCCTCCATGTTTCTCAATTATTTCATCAATTTCCTTCTTTACTCTTGTCTGAATATCTGGATTGATTGCTAATTCATAGAGGCAGAAACTCTGTACAGAACTAGAAGTTTCAAAGCCAGCAAACAAGAAAACAAAGCACTGTGCAGCCATCAAACCATTATTAAATTCTGAAATGATCAATGTTAATACTTGTTAAAAATAAAACTCAAAAATTTTTATTTTTCTACAATATTTTTTGCATTTCTAATAACATATCATGTCTTCCTTTATGATATTGAAGCAGTTCCTCTTTTAGTAAAATTGATCAATAAAAGCATATCACCAACGAAATCAATAAAAAGTTCTGTAATGGAGATATGCCAACTCCTCACTTGTGAGAAAAGTGAGACGCAGGCATAGATAAAAATCGCCTATTTATTGACGAGGAATTATAAAAATTAAGTATTTAATTCATTGACCATTACAAGCTGATGTTCCTGCATGTTAGGCTTTCTACATGGAACATTCAGAATTTATTTAAATAACAATTTATTGTAGGTTTGTATAAGATCGTTAAATGAGAATAGAAAAAAGAATGAATAAATTAAATATAGGCTGTACAATCTCACGACTAAATAATAATGAAAAACAAGAACACTACAGTTACCATCGAACTAACAAAACGAGGTTATGGACATGGATGCATCGATTTCAATAAAAATTGTTTACGTGTTAATAGGTCGAAAAATATTACACCTAGGTCGCGCAGTGGGGCCGATCTAGGAGGGAAAATTCATTAAGTGCAATTTTTGATTGAAAATCACAATTTATTTGTATTTATCTCAAATAAATACAAAAATAAAACTTTCATAGTTTTAATTAAGTTTTTAAAAAAGTTTTAATTAAGTCATTATCAATTTAATTTAATATATGGCAATAACTTCTTCTTTTTTTTTAAATTACAATTTGAAATCATAATTTACAAAAACGAAGAATTAACTATTTAATTTCAATTTAATTTATAAATTATTTAAATTAATTTAATCTATTTTATCAACCTTATTATCAATACCAGAAAACCCATTGTCTGACGGAAGTTCCTTATAATCGATTCGTATCTGCAATTTAAATTTTCCTTTTATTTATTTAATTTTTTTTTTTTTTTTTTGTCTAAACAGTCTGTAAATATTTGCCCTCTACAAAAACTCATAAGTTCGTAAAAATGGCCCAACTATCGTCATGCAGCCCCCTTCTGAGCAGCCCTACTATATTAAATCCTTTTCTTTCCGCTCAATAGTTTTTGAAACATGCAGGAAAACATTATTAGGTCTCCCTGTTCTCTCGAAAACTCATGGTTGGTATCAAGACGGTTGTGCAAGGAGGTGATTTGACCGATATCATCAAGCTCAACCGCTGGTTTTTTCCTTAATCAAATATTTAATTAAGAGTTCCCACTTTAAAGAGGCTGGGTGTGCCACAGAAGGATCTATAGATCCCAGGGTTGCCCCACGGCAGATGAAACAGAATGTAGAAACGGCAGAACCCTGAGCATTGGAAGATCAGGAACAATAAAAAAAAATCTGGTGCACGATACACACGACTTTCATTTACCACCCTCTTCTTAGCAGAAATAAGTATTTCCTAAAGGAGAAGTGAAAGTAAAAATTATAGACGCTATATTTATTTACATTTCATTGTGGATATTTTTATTTGTTTAAATAACCTTTTATATACAAATTTTAATTTTCAGATCGTTGTATTCTATACAATTAAATATTAAATAATTCCAACGATAGCATTTATGAAAACCGCATATGTATATGTGCATAATATTGTC